ACTCTGAAATAGGACTGTGTGAACAGCTTCTTCCATGAGAACCAGGCAAGCATTTACACGGAGCCCCAGCTTCATCCTGCTCCCCACCTTCTTTTAAGATAGACAGAGGTGGTCATCACTTCTCTCCTTCTCATCAGATATTGTGACGAATTACTGAACAGAACCCAAATTAAAGACCGAGTCTAGGATCATGGGAGGGGCCTGGCTTGTAGGACAGGGAAAATGGCCTTCTGGCATGGGGTCTCTAATGCTTTCTGACCTCTTTGGCTTATTTTGTCCAAGCTCCTTCTTTTCCTTTTCAAAGTTAATTATCAGGAATTAATGATATGAACCATATTGCTTCATATTAACATCTACTACTAACAAAATATCAGCATTTTAGTTAGTTAGTGTGAATAATTGATGTAATAAACTAATGGATTGAGTCTTCAAGCAAGAACACTTTTGTGGTGACAGGGTCAAAAGTAGGATGATAATTGGGTGACTGGAAACATACCTGAAAAGTGAAAGCATATGCCATTCTCTAACAGAATTCTCTACGCAGGGGCATCTCTCACGATCTTTGTCTTTTGTGACAGTGGGGTTTAAACATAAGGACTCTGCTTGCTAGGCAGGCACTGTACCATTTGAGCAACACCCTCAGCCCTTTTGTACTTTAGTTGTTTTTCAGGTAGGGTCTCATGTTTTTGCCCAGTGTTGGCCTTAGACTGTGATCCTTCTATTTATGGTCTCCCATCTAGCTGGGATTACAGAACCTACAGTGGCCCAATTCAGGCTATTGAGACCTAAAGGGAAGTCAGTCATCATTCCAGGAAAGTGTTTTCCTTCCCTAGGATTTGCATCACCCCCTTCCTCCTTTATTTCTTCCTTAGTTTCCTTTTTGGAATCCAGACACAGTATTGGAGGGAGAAGTGCCAAAATGGAATGAAGACGCAACTGTGAGGAAATGTTTAATTTAAAGATGGTGGAGTCCAAAGACCAGAGCTGGGACGAACATGATTCCATGGCAGCCACACACAGCTGCCCCCATCAGCACAGACACTGGATTACTCTCCTCCTGGGTACCTGAGAGTAGTGACCAAGGGTTGTCATGGAGACGGGGTGCCTTGTGAACCAGGCCTCTGCTCCTGTTGGGTTTGGCCAGTGGGAGTCTCCGTGGTACCCCTGCTCCCTTGCAAGAACTCCCTCCCCTTGTTCCTGCATTGGTAACATCTTCCTCCAAGCTACTTCTGAGCATTTCATCACCCTGCCTGGTGTCCTAATTCTATCTGTACCCCCTCAATTGATCCCCATTCAATCATCTTCAGCCTGATGATTTGAGTGATCTCTTTGCTGCACTCTGACTAGGGCAGGCTGCTCACCGCCCCATTGTAGAAGTGCAGTGCATCTTCCTCCACTTTCTGTCCTTCTGTCTTGCTTCTGCACTCTGGAATGATGAAGACCTTTCCCTGAGGATCGGGTCAGGCAGACTTAATTCCAAATCCATAATTTGCCTCAACTTGCCCAGCTGAATATTCCCAGTTTTGGCGTCCCTTACAAGGGGAGGATACCCACACCTGGCAGGATGACCATGAAACATGTGATATGCCCATCGACTTAGGGTTTTCAGAGTTAGCAAAACAAAGAACAGGATGGCCAGTTAAATCTGAATTTCAGATCAACAATGAATATTTTTCTGCACTTGTAGCTATGGTTGCAATATTTGGGATATATGTGTACTAAAAAAAAATTCAAGTGTTAGTCAGTGCTGTGGTTACCACAGAAATGGCATTGATTTTCTTTTTGGACTTTTTTTCACCCTTGAATAAAAAAATAATAAAATTAGAAACTTTCTTTCTGGGATTAAATACTCATGGGCAAATTTTAAGTTTGTTTTTATTCTATTATGAGAAATTATTGCTTTTTAAAGACGATTTAATCCAGTGACTTTCAAACATACTTTAGTAAAATTATCTTTTATACAAAATTTTACCCAGAATTCTAATTTATAAAAGCATTAAGCAGGTTATTTATTAGTTAAAAACCAACGACTCTTAGCTCAACTGTATAATCAATGTTAACTGTGTCGCAGTTTAAAACCTCAGCTTCAGTTGCAGGTTATATATGTACACTCTCACGTGTAGTTTTATGCTTGTATCATAGTCACTTGCAGTTCTCTGTCAGCCTCAATTCCATGCCAATCTCAGTAATCAAATGTTCCTCCATTTTGTTTTGGTTGCAGACTATTGAGAAAATCTTGGCTCATTCAGGTGGACACTTGTAACTGATTTTTTAAAATTCACTTTGTAGTCCAAGGGTACTTAACAGAGATGTCAGGAGAAAACATTCCCAGAGATGCCCAAGATAGAATTTGATGTGTGTGGCAGGGGCAGGGAAGGGGACAAGGCTGCTCTCCCTTTCCTAAGTAATGGAGCCTAACTGGGTATGGGGCCTCCCCTCCAGAGCCTGTGCTTCCCAGTCCCCTACTCCAGCCACCCAGCCTCTTGAAAATTGACGTGCTCACGTGACTAATGGGTTCCCATTCAGTGGGAGTGGACACGTGTCTCCTCCACACTTGCATCTCTGGAAAGTGGAACCAAAATAAGAAGCAAGTTGGCCCTGACCTGGAGACACAACGGGAGGTTATGAAGGCCTCAGGGAACAGAGACCCCGGGACCTGTCGTAGTCACTTGGAGCTGTGTTAACTTCCAATAATGATGCTTTTGAATTGGTGAAAGAAATGTGACTTTCTGATACTGTGTGAAATGTCTTAACATCTGAGAGATCTAACTCAGTGAATCACTTGTCCAAATAACCAATGAATGCTACAAACTCACACATGGTTAAAGATGCAAGCAAAGAGGACTTTAATGTAAAGGAAGACAAGCTCAAGTTCATCGGTGTGGCTTCAGATTCCATAGAGAATTGAACCTTTAGGGAGTTTCCACATGCTCAGTTTTTGTATCGTGTCAAAGACGGATGTTCACAAGTGTCTGAAATGCTTCCAAGCACTTGAGCTTTTCTGTGTATGTGCGTTGAGACCCGCTTTTCTTCATTTACTTTAATGAAAACAATGTCACAGATTGAATGGAGAAAACCAGACGCTAAGAGATTTTCCTAAATGTAAAATGATGCCTCTTTTTTTTTTTTTGGAAAATATTTTTCCTATAAGAATGCTATAATAACAAGTAATGATCTTATAATAGTTTCTTTTAGATACATTAGTTGTAAATTTTTTTCTTGGTTTTCAATTTCTGGTACAGTACATCTCCATATAACAAGCTCTTGGGGTCTTTAATAATTTCCAGATACGGACATCACAAATGGGCCCCCAGCTCTGAGACTCACACAGGATGAATTAGGCTCTAACATATTCCGGGTTACTCATTAGGCAAATTTACATAAGGTGAAACCCAAAAGATCCTTGTCTAAGTATTTTTATGCCCATTGGTTGTCTGATGATCAATACCTTATGTCAGTGTGGTGATTGACTGTGAGCATGAAGACTTTCTTTGCGGCAGGGGTTCAGTTCCAGGACTTCCTCATGTTCAGCTTGCATGCACATTTGCACACACGCACTTGACAACCTGACGGCAGTGTCAGATGCACAGTTATCTACATGCCCGTTCAAGGGCAGCGCTGATGGAGGGAGGCTATGGAATTTATCCCTGAGACCTACACGCGCTAACAGCTTTCTTTTGGGCTTTTTCATCTTAGCAGGGCTGGAAAAAAAGGAATCCAAGCCCCTGGCTTGGTGCAGTTTTGCTAAGGTGGAGCCTTCTTGCTCCACCAGGCCTCCCTGCGGCTCTAAGCTGGCGATGAGCCTCCTGCTCTGAGTGGTGATCCCACTCGGATCAGCCAGACATGGCTGTTGGATCCAGTGCAGCCCAGCGAGATCTCAGAATCCTTCTAGCTCCTGGCAGCCAAGGCTGCTCTGCAATATGAACTTGGCATGCATGGAGGTATCACCTTGCCTACAAAGGAGCCAGCCAGGGAGGTCTCCCCATCTGTGAACGTCACTCCTCTCCCCCAGTGACCAGGATTTGCTGCAAAAGGCGGTGTGCAACTGCTGATGACAGCAAACTGCTTGCTCACAGACACTGCCTGTGTCTTCTCTACAGAAAGTGGCTTTTTGTTCTGATTCCCAGTCTTCTCTTTCAAAGTTCACTTGTGTGTATACAAGTAAAAATTTTCCTTTAAAATAGGTGAAGATCTTGGGTGTGCCTCTTTTTTCAAAAAGCCTTTAGCCTGGTATAGTGTGCAAGCACCTCTATAATCAGAACTTGGGAGGCTGAGCCAGGGGACCATGAGGTTGAGGCCTGCCTGGGCTACATAGTGAGACCTTGTCTCAAAAGTAAAACAAACAAAAAATACCCCAAAGGCTCTAATTTTGTTGAGTGAAGGAATGAGACAGCCTCCTTCCCTGTGGACCTTCTAAACTAAGCCACTTTAAAATTCTGAGTTTATGATATTTTTCCATAAATGGGGTCACTCCATATACATTATTTTGTGACTTAGTTTCTAACCCTGTATTTTGAAAACTGTAAGATATATAATTTCCATGAAAAATTAAGATGTTAAAAATTATGTCATGTCAAACACACTTATATGTCCTTTGATCTAGTACATACTTATAATTTCTGTATCATTTCAGTGTTTCTGATTTTGTGAATGGCTATTCTCCTGGCCCCTTCAATGTGGATTTAAAATATTTACATACAAAGACAAATATTACTTGAAATAAAGGTCAGAAATGGGTGTTGAGTGAACAAGCTTGGTATCTGATATGACTACTTTGGTATATTTGGCATTCAGTAAAACCACACAAAACCACCATGTAAGTATTTATACACACTATAATAACTCACAAAAAGTGTCCTTTCGAAGAAATAAAAAGAAGTCACCACTTCAGGTTTTGCCTCCCAAGCTGCAGGCTGGTGAGACACCTATAGCCGCCAGGGCTCCCCACATCTCCCCCCACCTCCATGTGCCCCATCACACAGAGCCAGTGATCCACAATCAAGAGAAAAGATATTTAATTATTTCTCAGTCTAATCTCTTAAAGCGCTCAAAATATTTTCACAAGTGCAAGGGGGATTGTTCTTAGCCAACATTTACCAGCGATTCCGACACACAAAGAAACTCCCAATCACGGTGCTTTATACTTACTTTTAATTTCTGCACTGAAAAAGAAAAGGTAAAAACAATGACAGATTACAGTGACTTCGCCTTTGCCCTTAACCTTTGTTCTTGGGGGCAGAGGGGATGACAGTAAACATTGAAGCATGATGATAATGGTGGCCAGGACACCTCAGTCTGGCTAACAAGGGCTCTACATGCCTGGACACGGTGCTGTCAATGTGCCAGCGCAAGAATGACAGGCAACAGTTTAAAGATACACTTAAAAAAAAAAAAATCCCACAATTCTGTTCTTAAAACCAAGCACAAAAGCTGACAATGAAACACATCCAAGGTTTTCGTGTGTCCCATGTGACCCCGGGCGGCTCCCGGGGGCAGCCACGTGGCGTGACTCAGTGTGGAACAGATGCTTGTTCTACCGACAACGCCGGCGTGCTGACTGCAACGCTGTCCCTCCTCTCCAGTGCAGACGTGTCCTGCATGGGAAAGGGGACGTGCGCTGTGCTCCCTGTGCAGCCTCCCGACAGACAGCGAGAGCCCCGGGGCTGGGTCTCTGTGCTTTGGAGGCTCTGCCTCTGGAATGTTCCATATTTTCAAGGTCTGGTTGAGTTGTGGGTTTTGAGTTATGCTCCACACGTTGTTTAAGTGCTCGCTTTATTTTTCATGTGCAAACTGTTACTGTCTAAAGCTTTTAGAAGGACGCGTACAGACATGAACACCCTGCAGAGATGAGGGTAGTCACCAGGCCCCCTGCTCCTAGGGTGGGTGGGCGGGGCAAGGGGTGCATTACAGAAATAGTTAGAGAAATATGTTCCGCGGCAGTTAAACTCTAGTCCCTGATTCGGTCCGTCGGGGTGGGAGGGAGTCCTCAGTAGGTGATTGTCCACTCCTTGACAGAGGCGTCGTGGGAGGTGGTAACCAGAGTGTGCTCATCCAGCCAGGCCAGGCTGCTGACGTGGTGCAGACGGTGTGCATCTGTGAAGAAAGGACAAAGGTTTAAGGAAAATGGAACTTCTCTGACTATCACCAAAGGCCCCATAACTAACCACCAGAAGGATGGACTGCAGAGGATCGAGGCCAAGGAGCAGGCAAACCCAGCCTTGCACTAGGACACTGGGTGGAGCCAGTGGCTCCTTTCTAAGCCCCAACACCAACCGTCCCCTCCCCCAAAGAAGGTAAAAAGCACCCTTCTTTGTACGTATAAAGCAACAATTCTCAGATAAGACATAAGCAGATATGCAGTCAGTCATGGGTATCTGTAGACCCAGCCAACAAGGATGGAAAATATGGTCAGGCCCACAATGCCTGTATCTGTCACAAAGAAGGACAAACTCTTTCTTGTCAAATATTCCCCGATCAGTACCGTGTAACAGCTGCTTCCATGGCATGCACACTGCATGAGGCACTGTGAGCGATCGAGGGGCGATTCACGTGTACAGGAGGACATATGCAGGTTATAAGCAAATACTATGCTACGTTGTTTTTTTGGTAGTACTGGAGTTTGAAATCAGGGCACAAAGCTTGCTAGGCAGGCCCTCTACTGCTTGAGCCATGCTTCCAGCCCATCATTCCACTACACAATTTTATACAAACAACTTGAGATCTTGCATTTTGGTATCTGAGAAGGGCCTACAACCAATGCCCCCGGGCCCAAGAGATGACTGAGCAGTGTGTCACCAGTAGCATAAAACAGGTAAACACATGATGCTGAATAACAGTTTGAGAAACACAGGGTTTTGACCCACCTGACACCCTATCTCAGGTCACACCAGGGTGATGAGACCCCACACTGCCCCTCACTGCCTCCCATTCTCATTCCAGTGGTGAGGTGCCCATGCCTCTATGCTTCCTCTTTGGCTGGCCCTTCCCACGAGGTCCTGGGAGCCTCTCAGTTCCAGGAAGTGGGCACCACTGGCTCTCTGCTCCCCAGCCCTAGGCGGCTACCAGGCTTGGTCTACAGCCCCACATGGATGGAGTATGGGGAGTCAGATGAGGACCCTGTAAGTCAGACCATCCAGGCCCTAATACAGGAGGTAGCGTGGGGCACTGGTGCCTGGCAGCTCCAAAAACCACCAAGCTCAACTGTTAAGGCTGAACCTCTGAGCCACATCCGCACCACCACACTGACTCTTTCTGGGCACAGGACTCATCCACATGCATGAAAGTTTAGCTTGGAGGTCACTTTGTTTCTGGAAGTTCATGGACCGTGACAGATACGGGCCCTGTTCTCCACTGGACACCCCACTAGCTCTGCCACATTTCTTTCTTGATTCATTTCTTTCATGAACTTGCTAGATTACTCACTACAAGATTGTGAATTTCCACACATATCAGGATGGCCACTTGGAAGACACCTTGGTCTGCCCACCAGGAATGGTGATGATGCAGCATCTCCCTCCCATAAAGCTCTGGGACGGCTCCCGGATCACTTAGAAGGTGAGGATCCCCGTCACATTTAACACAAAAGGCAGGAGGGGAGAAGGGGTGCCGCACACAGGGCCACCAGCACCTGCTGCGGAGCTTAGGGCATGAGCCACCAGCACGGGTGAAAATGAGATGCTGGGCTGAATCAAACTCGCTATTAAGAACAACTGGTTTCTATCTAAAATGAAGCCCCTTGGGAAATCTGTAATCCCCTTGTGGCTCCTGCCGCGGCAGGAGTGCAGGAGCCTGATTGCGGCTGAGCTCTAGGACAGGCAGGGGAAGGAAGATGCCAGGAGCCCTTCCTCACACGCCCCATGTGTTCTCATGGAGTGCCTTGGCTTCCCTCTACACGGCCCCTCCACACAGGCTGGCAGAGTGCCCCGTGTGTGCTGGAAAGGAGAGCTAGTCGTTATCACCCCACAGACCCCAGGGACACTGGACCCTGGCAATGGCCTCTGGGGCAGCTTGCAGAGCCCAGCTCATGGACACTCTACTGAGGACTGCAGGTGGGAGTCACCTTGGATCTTGACTCTTGTCTCTGGGTCACTCAGGGTCCAGACGTACACCATCATGTCCATGCCGCCAGAGGCAAAGTGTTCATTGTCTGGTGACCAGGCCAGGCACACGATCTTTGCATGGTGTCCATAAAAAATATTGTTCTCCTAGTGGCAGGTTAAAAACAGAAGTGGAAGGTCAGGGTTGAGGCCAGTTCCCACACATCATCTTTGCCATCCCTCATAGTGACCAGGGACAGGACAGAGTCTGTTCCCTTAGCGTTACTCCAAGCCAGGCAACCCTCAGAGCTCACTGCCTCCTCCCAAGAACCCCACAGTGCCTGCCAATCATGGAAACAAGGACACAGGCTCAGGAAGAATAGTCCGGGATCCTCCAGCCACTTGCACCTGTGCTGTACAGAGGGACAGAAGGGTCCACGGCCCACTCACCGAGTAACCGTCAGCCACACTAAACACCGTGACCACCTTGCTGGCATCACACACAGCAAGGAAGGCGCCATCATGGGAGTAGGCCAAGTCTGTCACAGGTCCTTTGGCTTCTAGGAGCTTGCCCTCGTCCTTCAGCGTGGTGCCCAGGATGGAGTACACACGCACATTGCCATCCTGCAGGCCGGGATGGAGAAGACAGTCATTTCCCAACACACGCAACATACCCTTTCCTAGATAGGAAGGTCAGGACATCAGCTAGGAAGTGCTTTTCCCTGGGCCCTGGTCACTGGGGGAGCTGCATGCTCCTTCTCACACTCCCTAAAGTGCTTTAGCAGTGCTCAGTTTCCTTCTTGTGTGGGCAGAATGACTCTGGAGGGCACTGGAACTGGAGACCAGGCCTCTTCACTCTGATTCTCTGTCAGCTGGAGGTCAAGAAGCCCTCCTTAAACACCTGTGTCATTCAGACAGGTGCTCCTAGGCAAACCTGGGGAAATACCTACACGCACAGCCTTCAGGGGACATAGCCTTCTGGGGACACAACCTCCTAGGGGGCCTCTGCCTTGTGGTGACCCCCAGCACTGGTGGGCTCAAGATACCAGTTCAACTAGGCCAGCACTGGCAATGTTCCTGTCACACTATTGTGCTCGGGCAGCTCCCCTCAGAAGGGTGCACCTCACAAGGGAGGGGTGAGGATAGGTAAGACACCTAAAAAATTAGCTAGCATTTGTTGCCCTTAACGCAGAGAAACTAAAGCAGATACCTTAAAGCAACTGAGGCCAATAGGAAAAGGGGAACAGGTACTAGAGAAAAGGTTAGATCAAAAAGAATTAACCTAGAAGGTAACACCCACGCACAGGAAATCAATGTGAGTCAATGCCCTGTATAGCTATCCTTATCTCAACCAGCAAAAACCCTTGTTCCTTCCTATTATTGCTTATACTCTCTCTACAACAAAATTAGAAATAAGGGCAAAATAGTTTCTGCTGGGTATTGAGGGGGTGGGGGAGAGAGGGAGGGGGTGGAGTGGGTGGTAAGGGAGGGGGTGGGGGCAGGGGGGAGAAATGAACCAAGCCTTGTATGCACATATGAATAATAAAAGAAAAATGAAAAAAAAAAAAAAAAAAAAAAAAGAAGGGTGCACCTACTCTCTAGAGATGCAGGGTTCTGACCCCAGGGCAGAAACCACTTTCCCCAGAGCCCCTCACTTCTCACAGCTGCTGCCCTGTCCACCATACTGGCTTTGAAAAGCAGCATGTACCTGAATGAAGCAGTGAGGGTAGCAGTGGAAGGGTTCAGTGGGGCGGTTGTATCTGCCAGTCTCCACTGCTAGGAGCCCCAGCACTGTCCTCCCACATGATCACAAAGCCCTGCCCAGGCTCTGTCCGTCATGCAGGATTCAAGGACTCATGGTCTGGCAAGGAGGAAATCACCCACAGGGAAAGCTCAAATGAAGGAAAAGAGCCATGTTGACAGATTGCCCAGGTCGCTCCAGGGGCACTTGGGACATAATCTCAGTCTACCACTAAATTTCCTCACATGGATGAACATGGACTGCATACCCTGTGGGCATCTACTTGCTGGAATATCATGTCACTGAAATGGGTGCAGCATGGTGTGTGGTACAACGGGAAAAAGCAGCACAAAGCAGCTGTGTACCTGCGTGGCTTAGGAAGATACACCCCAGTTTCCTTCAAAGTGCTGTTTAAAGGGCAGTTCTAACATGCAAAAGATTAAGGTTGAGTGAGCCAGGTGGGGTGATGGAGTTGTGTAAAGGGAACACTAGGCTCAAACCTTCACCTTCCACTGAGGACCCTGGCATAAACATGCCAGAGCCCAAAAAGTGGGGGACAGGGATAGTGACAGAACTAGAGGAGCCCCAGGAACATTGCCTAGCCTGAGAACAAGAGGGAAGGAAAACCAACCCGTCTGTATAGTGCAAACAGGATGGGGGAGGCGGTCATGCTGCTGATTGGGGCCAGGAGAAGTGTATGCTTGCCTGTGTGCATGTGCATGTGTGTGTGTCTTGCCTCCTGAAAGAGGCCTTGTAGCTCAGGCACAGGATACAGGCTACTCTGGCCATGTATCTGTTCAAAGAAAATACTTTCCTCCTGGTCTAACCTGGGGTTTGTTTCATCCAGTTTCCCAGGACACTGGAATGAGGCAACAGAAGGTCTAAACAAGCCACGGCACTGGCCTAACTTGGGACGTGAGGGCCAGCTGGAAACCTCTGCCATGAGCTATAGCTAGGGACTGCTTCTTGGTGGGGTGAGGGTTGGGAGAACTCCCTCACCTCTTCATGGGAGACACTGACCAGCTGACCCCAGGTCCTTAGCTTCATACACTTCTAAGGCAGAGGGAGCAGGCCTGGAAGGCTTCTGAGGTTGGAGGCGGGGCTGTGTGGTGATGCTGCTGAGTTAATGCTGCCGCACACTTCCATAATCCAGGCACTAGACAAAGCCCTTCCTATACATTAGCCTTTGAGCCCCCAACAGCCACAAAAAAGGTCACCAGCATCTCTGTGTAGCCAGTAGCCTGAGGGCCTCGACAGATGGGTGCAGGAAGCTGGTGCATTGGGCAGGAGGCCCTGGAGCTGGGCTTCTAGGCACCAATGGGACTAGGCAATACATGGACAGCTTGGCCTAGCTTCCTCTGGGGGAGGCACTTGTTGCCCAGGGGTTCAAAAGTTTGCAATTCAGCTGCAAGACTAGCTTATCAGAAGCCCCAGCCTCCTGGGGCTAAGGGGAGGATGAAATACATCCTCTGGAGGCACTTGGCCTGGCAGGCAGTGACTGCTCTGTGGGTGACTAGAAGCTAGAACTCAAGGAAAACTGTGAAATGATTCAGTATCCAGAATTTACTAAGAAATTTCTTGCCACCTCTAAGCCCAGCACCATGAGACACTATTTTTGCTTGATATGCTGCCCTCTCTAGCTCGCAACCACTTGCAGGGCTAACTCTAACTCTGAGGCCAAGATGCCCACTTTTGGGTGCTCCCTGCCCTGGGCCTGCCCAAGGTCATGAGCTCCTGCAGGACTGTGTGGCCATGCTGTGGCCGAGGCAGTGTACAGTAAGGTGCTTGGTAAGGGCCTGCAGATGAATGGCCGCAGTGCAAGCCTCCCCTATTCTCTGCCACACCAGATGCCCTGAGTGTGGGGACAGCGAGCCAACACACCTGTGGTGTGAGGTGGCTACCCACCCTACTGCAGAAGGCCCACTAAAGCATGTAGACTGCACAATGCAGGGCAGGTCTGGTCAACTGGGGACACTCGTGTGGAGACAGCAGGAGATGCTGGGACCCAGAGCACGCTTTTCACATCTAGGACTGTCATTGTCTCCCCACTTCCCTAGGACTCACACAGCTCACGTGGTCCCCAGATCACTAGAATACCAAGGTCAGAAGGCACAGGAATGAGAAGGGTCTTACCGCTCCTCCAACAGCTACTGTGTCCCCGCCAGGGTGCACTGCCACAACTTCAGGCTCATAGCCAGGGTTGTCGATGCTGAAGCATTTCCTCTGGTCCTTCAGCAAGACGATCTACAAGTTAGCACAGTGGACACCTGTGACACTGCTCATCATTGGGGCGTGCATCCTGGTGGAGACCCTGGGCTTTGAGTCACATCCCAGGTACAGTCCCAGTCTTGGACTGAGGTGTGTCTCTCCCTTATCAGTCAAGTAGGGGCAGTGACAGGCCCTGGTCAGCCAGCATCAGGAAGTGGTGGCTGTCACCACCATCATGAAGACTGCATTATTGGGATCAGGAACCAGTGTAAAGGTCAGTTAGAGATGAATCAAATTGGACTGTAACACACTGTACATGGAAGCAATGCTAGGAATCTCTCTGTATAGTCATCCTTAACTCAACTAGCAGAAACGCTTTGTCTTTCTCATTATGCTTATGTCTTCTTTTTAACAAAATTAGAGATAAGGGCAGAACAGGTTCTGCCTGGAAGTGAGGGGGAGAGGGGAGAGAGTGGGGGTGGGGGTCAGGAGGAGAAATGACCAAAGCAATGTATGCACATGTGAATAAATAAAAATAAAAAAAAAAAAGACCGCATTATCACTAGCTGCAAGCACCACCTTGAGACAATGGGCACAGTGACTAACAGTGCTGAGCAGTGTTCTCTGGAGGGCAAAGGACAGAAGCACCAGGAAGGGACTTGGCTCTAAGGCAACAGGAGCAATGGCACAATCCACAGGGACTCAGGCTGACACCTGCCAGGGCCTGGGAGAGCATGGTACCCATGTGGCAGAGGACACTGAACACCCAGTCTTCAGGGCCAGCAGCAGAGTTCCATGGACTCCACCTGAGCACTTCCAGCTGCAGAAGTGGGAAGAAAAAGACCAGGGTACCACAGCAGGGGTCCTGGAGTCCCAGCCTGCCGAGTACCTGGAAGTCCATGTGTGGGGTCAGAAAATCCTAATGATGCTGGGCCCAGCTACCTTAGCCCTAGTGGAGACACTCCCACAGAACATGCTGACCAGACAGGACTCTGGAAGTAAGCAGGTGGTGACCTAATCCTGGCCCAGGCACCCACCTGTGGTGGGAAGAGTTCACAAATGGTCCTGGGCCTGTTTCCTGGGGGGATGCGAACCCAGCAGGGCCTACACATCTGGAAGATGTAATTTCAATGCTCAGGATAGATCCGGCACTGGTCTTGGTAAGCCAAATCAGCAGCTCCCACCCTTGAGTGAGTACAGAGCACCTGGCCAGGACTGCTCCAGCCCTAGGAGACAGCAGCGTCAGCTCTCCCCGGTCAGAAGGGAAGTTGGAGAACAGGAAACCTTCACATGCTGTGTCCCCACTTGTCCAGGGGCTGAGTCAGGACTCACATTTGGAGCCTACAACCCTGCCCTTATCCACCACAGTGAACCTATCTCTACCCTGCGGTGTACACAGAAGAAACAATGACCTTATTCTGACTGGACTGCCCCTAGACAGTGTGGCCTAATTTCAACAGGTCTGGCCTTGCCCCATCATACCCATGCCTGAGCCATCAGCTGCTCTGAGGGCCCCTTCAGGGACTTTGCTTCTGAGTGTTGAGGAGTGGCTAGGTGGCAGCACCCTACTATAATCTACCTCTTAAGACCCACCTCAGGAAACAGCCTGGTCTCTGCCAGGTGAAGGAGGGCACAAGCACCTGCCCAATGAACCTGAGGTAAGACTTGACCTGCAGTTTCCGTGGGCCAGCGCTCCTGGAACAGAAGGTCCTCACCTGGTCAGGAGACCATGGATGCCCCAGAGAGCTGGCAAGTCAGTGGGGCCTAGGGCTCCCAGAAGTCTGTCTCTTCGTCCACTAGGACACTTGCTGGCACCTCCCTCAGCAGGTGGGCTGAGACTACTCACACCCCAGGTAATTCTTGCTTGCTATGAGCCTCAGGGGCAGGGTAAGCCTGTGACCTCCCCAAACCTCACATGAAGAAACCAAGGCCTGGGATGGGGAGCTCCACTGAGGCCCTCCCACAAAGAAGTTCTCCCCAAATTCTCATCTGGTCCCCACAGAGGCCAGGTGTCCTAATACAAGGCTGGAGATTGCAGTCCCCGCCCTGAGGTTTGCACCCCCGTGACCATCCAGGCTGTGTGCAATAATTACTTGGCAGGGAGTTTGTATTATCTAGGACACTCAGAATCCATTCTCCCTGAAGCAATTAGGTTCACAGAACGAGGAGGGTGGACCAATCCTGCATGGCAGCTTTCTTCAGCAGTGTGTGTCCACACGCTGGGGTGTCCAGGCCTACTGACAGATGATGTGTGCAGTGGAGCGGAATTCGGTATAAAGTAGGTCAGCCATGGATTCAGTCAAAGGCACTTGGTTCCAGGCATTCCAAAAGAAAAGGTGTGCAGGTGACCTCAGCATTGCAACAAGAACCCGGGCTGTGGAATTAGAACCCATCCAGGCCCAGGTGCCACCCTACCCTCACGTGGCCTAGGCAAATTCACCAGATTGCTCTGAGTCTCAGCCTCCCCATTTGTAAAAGGAATTCAAGATGTGTGAGGAGCTCAACAACAGTATCCTCACAATCATCCCTATCCATGTCTTATGGAGGAGAATATAAGAGCTCAGAGAGGCAAGTGTCTAAAGTTACACAGCTCCAACTGAGGCCTGCAGTGTGATCTGAGACTCAGAGACAGATCCCAGCTCTGCCCTTTTCCCAGCCAGCCTGTGGGCATCTGAGTACTCTGCCTAACTTGTCACACTGTGGAAAGATTACATACATGGGAAGCCCTGGGCACAGCCACATGAGTGCTCAACCAAAACACTGGCTACAGCTACTGTCGAGTGAGTGTGAGTAGATTTTAGAGGCTAGACATCACACAGCTGGAAGATGCAGTCCTTTCTAGCCCAAATCCAGCTGGATCCATACCTGCCCAATACACACGACCACAGTATAGCCTCCGGGGCCAACAGCCACGCACTTTGGTTGAACGTCCAGCTTCACAACTCCTTGGCCACTGTGAGAGAGAGAACACTTATGTTTATGTGGCTCTGTGGATACTAACATATACTTACTTCAAAAAACCTGCAAAACCAAAACAGCTATGCGGGAGAAATTCTACCATAATCTACTGTGACGTGGCAGCCTGCGGACAGACAGGAGGGAGGGAGGTGACAAAATGACCACTATTCTGGGCAATGATGGGAGACAGGTGTGGAAAGGAGTCAGTGAGAGAAAGTAAAGGGAAGATCTGTTCCTATTTCCCATCACTCCACTCTGCATGGGTTGGAAACCCATGTTTACTGGTCAAAGACTGAGTTTCCTGGGTATAGGCAGAATTGAGCTCCTCCTACACCAGTTATAACCCATTCCTCCCAGGAGAGAAACTTAAAGACCTTTAATGGGAAAATTGTGTTACCTTCTGTCTTGGCTAATGCTATCAAAACTCATCCTAGAATTCGCATACATGTGCACACACACACACACACACACACAACACACGCCCCTTGAAAACAGTCATTAGAAATGTTTCATGTAACTAGGACAAGTGTGGGCCCCAAAGGCTTTCTGGATGGGCCCTGCTATGAGGTCATCAGGCCATGGTTGGCTTTGTAGGAGCCTTGGGGCCTTGGGTCCTCTCGGAGCATGCAACCATGGCCTGCAGCAGGAACACCTCACAAGGGATGTGTTAAGAAGAGCAGAGTCATAACCAGAATATATAGGGAACTTAAAAAACTAAATTCTCCCAAAACTAATGAACCAATAAAGAAATGGGCAAGTGAACTAAACAGAACTTTCTCAAAAGAAGAAATTCAAATGGCCAGAAAACACATGAAAAAATGCTCACCATCTCTAGCAATAAAGGAAATGCAAATTAAAACCACACTAAGATTCCACCTCACCCCTGTTAGAATAGCCATCATCAGCAACACCACCAACAACAGGTGTTGGCGAGGATGCGGGGAAAAAGGAACCCTCTTATACTGTTGGTGGGAATGTAGACTAGTACAACCACTCTGGAAAAAAATTTGGAGGCTACTTAAAAAGCTGGACATCGATCTACCATTTGATCCAGCAATACCACTCCTGGGGATATACCCAAAAGACTGTTACTCCAGAGGCACCTGCACATCCATGTTTATTGCGGCACTATTCACAATAGCCAAGTTATGGAAACAGCCAAGATGCCCCAGCACTGACGAATGGATTAAGAAAATGTGGTATCTATACACAATGGAATTCTATGCAGCCATGAAGAAGAGCAAAATGTTATCATTCGCTGGTAAATGGATGGAATTGGAGAACATCATTCTGAGTGAGGTTAGCCTGGCCCAAAAGACCAAAAATCGTATGTTCTCCCTCATGTGTGGACATTAGATCAAGGGCAAACACAACAAGGGGATTGGACTTTGAGCACATGATAAAAGTGAGAGCACACAAGGAAGGGGTGAGGATAGGTAAGACACCTAAAAAACTAGATAGCATTTGTTGCCCTTAACACAGAGAAACTAATGCAGATACCTTAAAAGCAACTGAGGCCAATAAGAGAAGGGACCAGGAACTAGAGAAAAGGTTAGATTAAAAAGAATTAACCTAGAAGGTAACACCCATGCACAGGAAATCAATGTGAGTCAATGCCCTGTATAGCTATCCTTATCTCAACCAGCAAAACCCCTTGTTCCTTCCTATTATTGCTTATACTCTCTCTACAACAAAATTAGAAATAAGGGCAAAACAGTTTCTGCTGGGTATTGAGGGGGTAGGGGGGAGAGGGAGGGGGCGGAGTGGGTGGTAAGGGAGGGGGTGGGGGCAGGGGGGAGAAATGACCCAAGCCTTGTATGCACATATGAATAATAAAAGAAAAAAAAGAGCAGAGTCACAAAGAGGAAAACGAGGACGCCTAGTTCTAGGACAGCTCGGGAGGCTCAGACGCCACCCTGGGAAGTAAGCACTTGCGTATCTGCTGCATGCAGGTGCCATGCCCCATGTGGGGCTCACAAATGTGCCCTCTGGGTAGGACAGAGTCATGATTGGGTCTCCTCAAGTAGTACAGCACAGGGGTGTGCACATGTGCCTGTGTGTGTATGTGTGTCCTTAGTGTGAGGACAGCGGGCTGTGGAAGCCCTGTTAAGGTCTGGAAGTCTGTTTCCTAAGTCAGGGACTTGGAATGTTCCCTCCACTCCCCTTGCCTGCATTCAGAGCTCAGCCACTTGTTAGAAGCTACTCTCCCAGTTCCAATGGTTGTTGATCAAAGGTATCAGAGTGAAAAACAGAGCAGCCCTTGGAGTCAGAGAGCCTGTGCCTACCTCACACTTAAGCAGGAGAGTCACACCCAGCACCAGCTATGACAAGAGTCTCACCTGACCTTCCCAATGGTCTGATTTACCTTCACCCACCTCTACTAGTGAAAGTGACAGGGAGAGCTGGCCAGCTCCTGAAGAGCAGGGCTGCGACCTGATGTCTGCACATCTGGACCGTGTATCTCAGGCCCTGTCTAAGGGTCCAACAACAATGGTGCCCAGGAAGAACTAGAAAGAGCAGACAGGATGCTGTGGAGAACAGTGACCACCCCTGGCCCTGGGCCTTGTGGGTGCCTGTGGCTCATCCTGGGCCCCTGTGGACTCATCCCCAGCTCTCAAAGGCAGCTCTCACCTGTAATCCCGCAACATGAGGTTGGTGTACCGCACAGTATCGTCCATGCTGCAGCTGACAAGCTGCCCAGACTCGTCCACAGTCATCCTGGACACCTGATTCGTGTGACCTTTCCCAGAGAAGGAGTCATTTTCCCCAGTCTCGGAATCCCAGTAATGTGGAGCACAGTTAAGGAGAAGCCTGGCTTCAGGTGGGTGGCATCTGCCTTTCCAGAGAGACCCCGACCAACCCCTCATCCAGGCGGTCTAGAAAGCCCCACAAAGAACAAGATCCTCGTGGATGTCCAAGCTTGGGATTTCAGAAGCCAAGGCAGTGGGAGGCAGCAAGACAGCCTGGCTGCAAGTCAGAGGGCCAAGACAGTCCAACCCCATCTCCTTGTAATAATGCCACACGACGCCAATTTTCAAATCACTGAGTCACACTGGCCTGTGATGGCTATCCTTCATGTGGTAGTTAAAATACTGCGTAAAATTACCTTCAGGCTACGTGTGCAAGGGGTACATGAAGCAAATGAACTTCATGTTTAGAGCTGGGCCCCAGCCCCAAGATGGTATCCTTATGTATGCACAAATATTTCAAAGTTTAAAAAGATGCAAAACACTTCAGGCCCCAAGCATCGTAGATAAGGGATATTCAACCTGTAGGATGAAAAACAACTTCTAGAACAGCCCTTCTGGAAGAGGGCTCTTACAGTGACTGGACAGTTCAGATGGAGCCACTGTTCACCAGGACTCTAGGCGAGCAAGGATTCATTTGCCTGTAACACAGTCAGGCCTATGACCATTCCCAGGGACACTGGCTCTGCTCTCTGCTCAGCTGATGGCTGACCTGATGCACCAGCTTGGAGATTCTGCGCGTGTGGCGCCCGGGTATAATGAGATTCTTTTACATCAACAAATGAGAATCTTATTTCAAATAAAGACAAGTGTTTCCCTGGGAAGCTGGACATGTGTTCCAAAGCTGATGCATCCTTGAGATGGAAAATCCAGCTAGGGACATGACACAGCTCAACTAACAGGTGCACTGACATTTGGGAAATGGACGTAGGTGGTGCCTCAGGCCCACAGAGGGATCAACTGTGAATAAGAGAGAGACTGGTCGTAGGACCTTCTTTGCTACCAAGTGTGACACTTCTCTTAGGTTTAGTGGGGCACAGAGTGATTTATCCACTCTCCTCTCTAGGTTGGGAAAAAACTTGTGAAAACCCCAGAACCCTGAAAAGACAAAGCAGGTTTGTAAGGTGAGAAGTGTGGGTCCTGGACAGCCCTTTCTAGGAGGGACAGCAGCATGCAAACAAGAGGACTACATAAAGGGTGGCCAACACAGTGTGAGCGCCCACAGAAGCGGCAGAACACAACACACAGCGCCGGCTGGCTTGATAACGTGGGGGTCTGGGTCCAGGGCCTCTGCAGATGGCCGGCCCAATCGCCCTGTGAGGTGAGTGTTTAGCATCTTGTTCATGGAGACACAGGGAAAGCATGAAAGAAACTCCATCACTAGGGAGAAGCCCCAGAGAGGGGAGTTTGTGAGAAGACACTCATGCCTCTAGGAAATGTCAGTCACCAAGGGAACACAAAAAACTTCGGGAGGAGTTCTGGTCCCAGCTCTGCTGCCAACGGGATGTGCAACTCTGGGGAAGGTACCGTACCTCTTTAGGTTTCAGTTTCCCCACTTTTAAAACAGGAGAGCTCTACTAGATGGTTTCTAAGTCATTCTGAGTCCTCAATGATTCCTGCTTAAAAAGGACAGAGCACAGGGCGACACCAGCTTCATTTACATGGAAGAAAGAAGTTCCAACTCAGAGAAGCTGAGGAACATGCTGGACCCCACTGAGGCAATGATGTCCTGGCCGGAGGCTTGCTCTGGGTGAGGCCCCAGACGCATACGCTCACACCAGAGGCCAGAGCTGCCCGGAGCACACAGCTGGGGCTGGGGCCACCCGGCTGGCCTGTTCTCTAGCACTGTGGGAACAGGAAAGTCACTCCTGCCAGGGCTCGAGCCAACTCCCTGAGTCAAAGGATATTAATGTGCCCATCATGGCTCCCAGAGTAGATGTAGGACTTGCCACCGTTTCTGTGCACTGTCAGACACTGGATCGATTTACTGTGACCCTGTGGAGGAGACAAGCGGGGCAGGGTGAGTTGTGGACTCAGCTGTCCTCTGTGGCTTGTCAGCTGCTATCTGGGTGAGAGGAAAGAGACGGAAGCTTGTCATGTAGCAGCTGAGGTGTGCTGGGACCCTGGCAGCCCCACTGCCCACAAACAAGTACCAGAGCCATGATCTGCCACCCCAAGTTCACTGATCTTCTGATAAACCATGGCCATTTGTGTCCCCTAGCCCCACCACCACTTATCCCCCACTCTGAGGCACCTAACCCCCATGTGGGTCAAGGAGAGGGACTAAATCAAAGCCCAGTGATGAGAACGGGCTGCAGACATGTGGCCTTCACCCAACAGCCCCTGATGCCACCTACAGGAAGAAATGTTGCCCCCACTGTCACAGATGAGCACGTCACCTGGGCTTCACCTCATAGGAAGTGATGTGATTACTTTTAGGAGGTCCTGGTGCTCACAAGCAGGGGTGATGGCTCTGCCTTCAGGTCCTGCTTGGTGACACTTCTTTTCTCTCAACTAACTACCCCCTCACCTTCCATGACTGCTGGTGATGCAGGGGACTGTGTGTGCACACAGAGGATTTGTCTATGACCACACATCTGCCTCTAGAAGTGACTCTACCCTCTTCTCTTGCTGCCAATGGCAGCTTGTTCTGTTTCTTCTCTAACTGCACAGAAAATGCTGCTGAGGTGTGGTCTAACTGCACCACTGCTTCTGGTCCCTGCCCAATATACCTGGCGCCCACAGTAAACTGCTCATCTGGGCACAGGATGCTGGGTAGTGGCTAAGCTTAAATCTTTTGTGTTCAATTGCTCACCCTCACACCTGGAGGCCCAGAAGAGCCATGCTGATTGATCTTCCTACCTCCAGGCTATGCCCACCTTCCCTTCTGTACTCATCACTCTGGACTGGGCACCAACATGGAAGCATTCCCAGCTCCCTCTGTCCTCAGGGCAGCACCAAGCTGATCCTGCCCTAAGGAGTCATTCCCACAGGATTCGGGGAGCCCTTTCCACCAGGGGGCAGAGACCCTGCAGGGTCAGCCCAGCTGAGATGCTGTCTCCACAGCTCCATAGCAGCAGGCTGCACTGGTGAGGGAAAGGCTGGGGTTTCGACCTGGAGCAGCTCCAGCTGGGGGCCCCAGAAAGCCTCAGCCACCAAGATGGGTAGACCCTGCTGTGGAAACCCTCCCTTTAAACCCAGGCTCAGACTCATAAAATGTCAGGTATGGAGCTGCTGGAGCCTGAGAGGGTGACCCTGACTCCTGGCTGCAGATCTCCTGAAAGGGCAAAGTGGTAGGGGTGGATGACAGAAGGAAGGACCCCACCCAGCCTCCTGGCACACAGTGGAAGGCCAGGCCAGCAGCATCAGGCCAGAATGAGCCTCCTAGGGAGGATTAAAAAACTGCCACTGTGTCCTCCCCAGCCTGGCCCTTGGCAATTCCTCCAACTTCACCTGCCATGCTCTCACTCAGGTCTTCTGCACTGTGACCACAGAGAACCCCACAGTGTCCCTCAAACGTATGTCCATGTTCAAATTGTACAGTCAAGGTTCAGATCCAAGGCTGTCTACTCCCTCCTACCCCAAGCTCTCTGCTGGTTCCCCCAGGGATTCATTCCCCTACCTCATCCTCCATGATGCACTGTCGCCTACCCTGGTACTCAGTGTGTTCTGACCGACAAAGGCCGAGTCCCTCAGAACAATAGCAAAGGGCAAGGCCACTGCCTCCGAAACCCCCGGGTCCCAAACGTGTGTAGCTGTCACAGTTGCTCAAGGGGGCGACATATGACCTCCCACCAGCGCCTGCCCTCCCAAACACTCTCCAGCTTCTATCTGGCCCTTGGTCCCCGCTCTTCCCTCCTCTCCTAGTGTTCCAGGGGCAGAGCCACCCCCATACAGGCCTCACCTTGATGACCCGCAGAGGTTTGCTGGGGTTGTTCTTGTCCAGGTAATTGATGTACCCAGACAGGGAGATGCTGAGGAGGTGGTCCTTCTGCCACAGGCAGCCCAACTGCTGGTCCAGGACATTGGAGCCCATGGGAAATGTGCTGACGACAGAGTTCACGTTGACATCCCAAATCTTAGAGGTTTTGTCTCCAGAGGCAGAAAGCAAATGGGTGCTATCAGGACTCCAACTAATCTATTCAATCAAAACCAGTGTCACATGTCAGAGAATTTTAAGAGTGGAAAGAGACCCCAGACAGCAGCCCTCAATTCTGGGCAGGAAAAGCAAGCCCTGGGCAGGAGGTGGAATGGCCCCAGCTGGCAGGGCTCCTGTTTCGGTCACCTCACTCTGACCTTGAAGCTGTGCATCACTGCCCGACTGTTAACCCCTAACTTCAAAATGAATTTCAATGGCTGTAAACACAGACTTAGCCAAGTTACAGCTACCAAGTCAAGCACCACAAATCCATACTCACAGCATAAATTCCTCCGTCGTGGGCTTTGTTCCCTCCGAGTGCACAGACTTTCTCTCCCGTCTTCCCATCATAGATGTATATCTTCCAAGAAACAAAATGTATGTGGATCGTGGGTCTGGGTGTGTAAACGCTTGCAGTAACTACACCACTTCTCTCTGCACTGTGGCTCTACAGAGCCTTCCAGGTCTTTAAAGAGCAAAAGTGTCTGGTGTGCTTTGGTGGTATGCCCCAGGACACAGGAGGAGGGAGAGCTTCCCAAAGCCTGTCTGTCCACCACCCCTCCACTGCCCCAGCCCTTACCTGGCCGTCAGCGCTGGCCGTGGCAAATCTGTTCCCATCAGGAGAGAATCGCACACAGTTGACGAAACGACTGTGGTCCTGTGGGCAAGAGGAGTGTTACCACCTGATGAAGTTCAGAAAACTTGTCTCACATCAGCTGCCACGACAACAGGAAGTCAGTCCACAGGAAAACCTTGCAGCTTAGAAAAGAGTCCCAGGCAGTCCCTTGAATTGGTCACTTTAGCCTTGTTGTCCCTGCCCAGGTCATCATTCTCCAGCCAGGCCTCCCAACCTCATCATTGTTTCCCCTGAATCTGCCCTCTTCTCTCTGGGGTCCCACGCAGTTCAAGCCCTAAATCCTTAGGTTTTGTCATGGCCATGACCATGAGGCTGTGTCAAGCCCAGTCCAGGAGGCATCTATCTGCAGAGCAACAAAGGGCTTTTAAAAGAAATGAAACAGTGGTTATGACTCTCAACAGGAACAAGCGTCTGAGTAACTGAGGGGTGCCCTGTGTGTGTGTGTGTGTGTGTGGGAGTTTTCAGGGACCTATAGGTGCTGCAACACCCAGGCTCCAAGGCTGGAGATGCCCTACTCTGCAGTTAAGTTCAACTGCCTTTTGCTTTTTGGAGCTGTGGCAAGCTTCCTGGCAAATTCTTTACAGAACACCAGGTCCAAAGAGGCTGGGTAACTTAAGCCTGCCAGTTGTAAGAATCCGGGTTCCAGTTTCTTGTCCAGAGTTGTCCCAACTGCACCAGCTCTCAGACTCTGGCAGGTACTGGGCAGGCTCAGGCATGCTCTGGCTGGGAGCCACCCCAGAGGTCAGATCCTTAACTCCTCAGGCCACCAATCTGCCATCCGTCTCTGGTGCAAGGAAGCCCGCTGCACGCTGAGGGACCATGTCCCCATCCCTGTCAGCCAAGAGACTTACGGATGATAGAAGAAAGGCCTTAGAGACAAAGCCCCTACACCATCTATGGAGTAGAGCAGTGTGCTCATCCCCTTTGAACAACCCAGAGCTAACAATGTAACCACAACTTGACGAGAATATCCAGCTCACTCCCCCTGCTTGATGCCCCTTCCTCAGCGAGCAAGGGCCTAACTCTCCATGGGCTTTGCACTGGCTTGTCACACCCCTGCTACTTCCTCAGTGGTGAAGGGGACAAAGGAGCCACACTGGTGACAGCTTACTCTGGGGCCCCTCTGCCAGATAGGGGCAGCAGGACATTGAAGAACTAGGAGGCCGGAAGCACTCATCCCAATGAAGCAGACATTGGGAAGAGAGGATGGCCAAAGTGGGGTGCTATGTATAAGGAGTATGTCATGAATTAGAGAAAACTATTTAGCACTGCTCAATTCCAACCTGTAACAAACTCCAATTCCAGTGGTCCTGGGGTCAGACCTCCTACTCCAACCCCAGGTCAGAGACAGGACGCTCCTGGGAAGCAGCACAGCACACCCAGGCTCTGTGACTCTGAAAAGGTGTCTCCAGCCTAGCAGGGGCAGTGCTGTGTGTCCTGGGGACCAACAGCTGCAAGACAGGGGCCAAATGAAGGCTGGAGAAAGTAGATGCCCCTGGAGGCTCAGGGCCGGCATGTCTTTGGGACCTCTGCTTTAGAGCTTCAGGCCACCACCACTTCCTGAAACTCAGCCAGGCACTGAGAGTCCACAGGGGCAGGAGACACGTCTGCTCTGGAAATAGCCCCTTTCAGGCAGGGAGCAGCCAGCAGCTCATCAGCCAAAGAAAGCGAGGGCTAAAAATAGCACTTCCCGCAGGGAAGCCAGGCAGTATAGAGAGGGAGCGTTTGGGGAAACATCACAGCAAGTCCAGAGGCTCAGCAGTCTAGCACGGCTATCTCACCTAGTCATCTCCTGAGCCAGACTCTCAAGTCTCTGTTGGAGTCATCCAGACGGGTCACAGAGCCACCTCAGGGGTCCAGCCTCAGAAGCCCAGTGCCACTGTGCCTACTCCACTCCTGCTTGCCTCCTTGTAGCTAACATTCACTGAGCCCTGGTGTGGGGTATCAGTGAGTCCCCAAGAGTCCATCCTCCACCACCATTCTCCTACCTGCCCTCCCTCCTCCCCCCTTTCACTGTCTATACCTCCTTCCTCCCATCATCTCCCTCTCACCACCAAGGAAAAGGAGGCTTGAAGCAACCAGGTAGGAAGCTACCCACCCAAGTCCATGTCACTGCTGGGAATCTGGTGCCCCTGGGCTCCAGGTCAGTGACTACCTCGTTAGTTCAGGTGTCCCCTCTAGGAGTCCTCCTCAATTCTTGCCAACCTCAGCTACCACCGTATAGGAGGACACCCTTCCCTGCTCCCTGCCATGACCCATGCCCACCTGCACCCACCAGCCCCTCCCACCTTAGCCTAGCACACGTTATGGTCCTGTGGCCAGCTGGTGCCTGTTGGCTCGCTTCTTCTCGCCCCCTGTCCCTACCTGGCTTCTTCCTCAGGCTCTAGCAATCTTCCCTATGAAGTGCTCAGAGGGCAGCACCATGTCCTTCACTGCCTCAGTTTGGCTAAGAAGCCAAAAGGAGCCCCCTGCACACTCCTGGAAGCGTTTCCACTCACCCTGGACATATCAGTCCCATTACCACTTTCTTCGGGAGAACAAGGGCTCACCCTGATCCCCCTTGGGGCCCCCTGGGCTGGGGGACATTCTGCTTACTGTCAGTCCAGAGCGTCTCAGGAGTCCATGGAGAAGGAGATAAGTCCTGCTGGTCTCCCAGTGAGACCATCAGTAAGTGCACAGGACAGCCCTCTGGGAAGCAAGGATGAGGAAGGGCATGCTGGGTGACTGGCCCAGGAGCACGGACAGAGCAGGCACCCAAAAGTGCTTAAAGAACTGAAATGTCCGCTTTTGGCCTTGCCATGAGGAAGGAAATCGGAAAAACACAAAAAGAAAAAAGGAACCAAAACACCACCACCAAGAAGCCTTGCATACTTGGAGCTCAAGTCTCACTTGTCTAGGAAGGCAACATCTCTACTATGAGCCAACACTGTGGCCCCTGCCTCTCATTCTCCTCCATCTGGAAAGTGGAAAGCCCAGTTCAGCCTGCTGTGAGCACAACCACACACAGACAGACAAGCAGAGGGACACAACACTACCAGCCAGGAACACTGGTCCTCTCAGTGCACATTTACTCCGCTCAGGCACAGTCAGACTGGGGGGTGGAGTGGGAGGTGGGGAGAACAGCTCCAGATCACAGAGTCATGGCAGCTCTGAACCATCTCTTTGATGGACACAAACTGCCCCACGCCGCCTAAGAACAAGGACATGGACACAGATCCAGAAGCCTCGGTCATCCCAGACCGTCAAATGCTCACTTGACAGAAGAAGACAAGGAAGGCTGGAGGCACAGAAACTTGTTCAAGGCCACACCACAACCAAAAATTATCACCCAATGGGTGTTGATCACACTTCAAGATGTGTCTATCAGAGGGGCATGCTTGACACAGAAACATTCCATGGTGGGGACAGAGACACAATCCCACCCACCCACCCCCTTAGGCCTTGCTCAGATCCTCCAAGGGGACCTCAACCTATGTCCACAGAATGTGAGCACTGAAGAAGGGGGCCATTGGGCCCGAACCACCCCTAACTCAGACCCAGTGTCTCCTGTGACTCCTGTCACCTCCTCAGGTCACCCACTGCATCTGGAACACGAAGGTGGGGAGAAAGCCTGGGACCACTCTAGGGAAAAGCACTCCTCCATCTTCATACACAGGCAAGGCCAGGCTATAGTCCCTGAGGCCTGATGGGTGCAGGTTACTCTGGCTAATGGTGAGCCAGAACTCTGGTTCAGAGGAGTAGAATCTATGCTTGCTCGGAGCTCTTGAACAAAAGAGAAAACAATGTGACCCCAAGATTGGGCAACTGAGATGGGAAGTGGCCTGCTGTCACTTCTGAAAGGAAGGTCCCTCTTGTTTTTTTCTGGACTGCTGCTTTCCTTCCCTCTTGGGTACACTGGCAGGGTTGTTTAAGTGTGTACTATAATGAAATTCTAAACGACTTACTCCTGTTCAAGGCAGCAGCTCAAACTCAGCCTGTGCCCTCCCTCACCACAAAATTGCAGGCCCTTCTTGCCCAGGAGCCTGGAAAAGCTCTGTAATGTCACCACCCAGCTCCATACTTGGCCTAGACAGGCCAAGAAGCAGGGAGCAGAGGTGTGGGAATGGATGGCCACCCCAGGACAGAGCTGCCTGTGGGCTGGTCACTTGGAGGAGAGTTCCAGCAAGCACGGGCCACCTGGCCTGCAGAGCAGCGAAGGAGGCAAAGGTAGCCCTGATCCCCGGTGGTCATAGGGTTGGGGATGAAGATGGGGACAAGACTACTACTGTTTGGATTTTCACAGTAAAAGAAACTTAATTTCCACTTAAAAATAACAACAAAAACCAATAATAATTAAAAAAAACCCCTTAACACATTTTCATTTTTAAAGCCTTCACTATAAAAAGGCTCTGTAATTTCTCAGAACCACCACACCCCCAGCTTTTGACATGATCAGAAGAACCCATACAGGGAAAGGCGGCCAGCAGGTACTCACTCCTCCAAGTCCTTCACAAACGTCCTGCCTGCCTTAGGCTTTTGCCCTGTTCATCTCCTCATCTGTCTGCACACTGGCCCTTTAGTTTGGGAAGTAAGTGACCGTCCCATGCTTCAGAAACAGGCAGCAGGGGAGAAGCTGAGGAAAGGCAGGCAGCCCACTGCCCAGTCCCACAGCTGCAGTTTCATCCCACTGGTGAGCAGGCCAGGCCAAACACACGTCAGCAGCACCTCACAGGTGTTTTGGGCAGGTGGGTTTCCTGAAGGCCCTCCCTTGTTCTTTCCGTAGTATGCCAGCTGAGCTCAAATGCAAGTGCAAACCACCTGTGGAGATTATCTCACCATTCACCAAATTCTGAGTCCTCCCATGGCTGTGGGCCATGAAGGAGGGCTGCCATCTTTCATTTCCCAGGGAGCCTTAAAGGCATGTCCAGCCTGCAGGTTGCACAGCCAAGCAGCTCAATATCAGGTGCCACCTAATGTTTCCGACCTTGATTCCCAGCCCTTCCCTCACCTCTAGGTCCCCAGACAGGAAGGATTACGGGTGTGGGCTCCTGGGAGTGAAGTCCTCAGTATAGGTGGTGGTGCCTACTTGGGAATGGGACCATTTAAAGCAAATGCTTCTACCTAATAGTCTAGGACTGGGGTTTTGGGCAAGGACTGCATCCAGAGATTAGAAAGTAAAAAGGAAGAGACAATGTTCTGGCCATGCCTCTGAATGAGCACACACAGGATAATACAGGGTAGTGGAGGACATGGGCTTAGGCTGTTCCTCTGGACTCAAGCCGTTTCCATTACACCACTTAGATGCTCTGTGTTGCATTTAGTCCACATTTGCAAGGGAAAGGATCCCTCCCGAGACATGGAAAGGAGCCCCTACCCACAAACAGCCCAAAGTAAGGCCAAATAAGTCCAAAAAGAACTCATGGGAGGCCTCGGAAGTGGAGAGATTGTCAGTGGAAACAGTGGCTGCTATAGAAACCTCTTCTCTCCTCTGCTGGGCTCAGCTTCAGGTGATTGGCTGGCTCAGTATTACTCACTCCATAGTCTGCAGGGCCTCTGCACCACTTAAAACCATTGACCTGGAGCTACAGCTTTCAACAAACCTCCCAAAATAGCCAGGTCTTCACTATCTACCAATTAGGCAGTAGCTGCAGGAGTGAGGATCTGAGAGCTACAGTGTGGGAAGCGCCCTTGGACACAGCCTAACTGAGCTTCCCTCATGGCCTACCAGCAACCCGCAGCTTGCTCAATCTGAGCTCCAGGGACCACATTTCACTAGCAATGGGGAGTCCATGGATAGCGGTCTGTACCCTAAGCCAAGATCTGTCTCTGAAAATTGCCCACCGTGTGAGTCCTGTGCACACCCTTGCCTATTTATGACTCACTGTGTTAAGTCATTAAAATGAACAGTACTCCTCAGTGAGCCACTTTAGGGACATTATCTCACTTAATCCCTCATGAGGCAGGAACACCAACATTCCTGAAAGATGAGGAGTCCTGAGACCTTGGCAGAGCCCCAAACTCAACCACCTAAAACATTTTCTTTCAGTTAAGCGTGGTCACTCCACCTTTTTCTCTTCATCACCAGGACAAGTGCTGACTACTTTTTCCACAGTAAAGACGGGATAGTACAGAACCACAGGGTCCACGCTAAGCCCCCTGCTCCCACAATACTGTGTGCCAGTCTGACCAACAGGTATAAACCACAGGACACGATGAGCACTGAGCCGCTCTTGACTTCCATGGGTTGTCCATAGCTAAAATCCTCAAGACACAGATGGCTTCCACATACCACCATCCTACAGTGGATGGGAACCCGAGTCTGAGAAGCCAGCACTTGGGCAAGATGGGGTATGTGAGGAGCGGGCCCCCTGAGGCTCAATGTTTATACCAAAGCATGTGACAGCTCCTAGGGCACTTGGGCACTCTTCTACCAAGCTGAACATCTGATTTTACCAGTCACAAGCCACAGTGTAGGCGCATCTCTGCTGTCCCGGTATCTCAGAGGAGGCACCTGAGAGACTGATCCGTATGTCCTGGGACCACTGCCCCTGCCCCTTTGGTGGCTCAGCAGGCCTGAGGTTGAACCAGCAAGAAGCAGGCAGCTAGTGGCTCTTTCTAACAGGTACCTCCAGCTCAGGACACTTGTCTAATTATACACAAAGCACACCCCCAAAACCACCCTTAAATACTGAAGTCCACTTACGCCAATTGTAAACTTGAATTTGAATGGGGGGCCCTCAAAGAATGCAGCACAGTTATCGTCGCTCCCTGTCGCCAACCGGTATGGCCTGCTCTGCTTGATGTCCACGCTGTTGATGACTTTGTTGTGTCCTGTGATCTCACCCACAGAAGAACCACTGTCCCACAGGAAGACAGCTCCAAACCTTTACCCAATGAGGAGTCAAGGAGAAAAAATATCAATCCCAGAAGGTCAAGGAAAAATGCAAGAGCTAAGTTGCCAGACCACAAAGGCTGTGGGTGGATGTTTGCACAGCCTTGGCTCAGGGTACTAATGGGATACATTAGAAAGCCTGTGATTCTGGCTTTACAAAGTACATGCCCAAAGGAATCTGAGAACAAGTTGGAGCAACCCAAGTACCTTTGGGAAGGGACTGGAAGTCCATGTCTGCATGGCCCAGTGTCAGTGCCTCCCATGTGGAAGGTGTCACTAGAGGTGTCTCTTTATGGCTTTATCACTTCCCTAACAGTTTTATTCGAAGGGACCAAGAAATATGCCAGCTACCATCCTCTACTGGGAAAGGAGCTCCCTCACTCTCCACTGACACTCAGTGAAAATGATTGTTTTAGTTACTGTTTGCTGCTGAATAAAAAAGGAATTAAGATCAACAGGCATGGACTTGAGAAGCCACACAAGAACTAAAACCTACCAGAACATGTCTCTGAGTTAGAGAAAGATACATATGTGGTTGTCAACTTCAAGTGCTTGAGGGAAGCTATGGTGGGAGCCCTGACAGCTCTCAGGATGAGACCTGAGCTCTAGCACTGACCCTGCTGGTCACCAGCCCTGAGGACAGCCACCACCTGTGCTGCCTGCCCACTAACCATTTATCTCTTTGCTATGCTCACAGGACTTCAGAAGACATGCTCAGCTAGGAGGAACACATATCTGGCCCCTCTTGCAGCTTAGTGGCTGGGCAGTAGCTGTTTGGAGGATCCCCTCAAAGAGGCATGTCTCTTTCATTTTTCCTTTCTTGCTGCCTGAGATGTGGGCACAACAGCTGGACTTCGTAGGAGGTGAAGGGCTCAGGATGTCAGAGAGGGGAGAGAAGGTACTTAGGCCTTGATGACAGCCTGTGATACAGTATCCTCCTTATGTGTGCCCCAAGCCAGATGTGAAGGGGCCAGTGGCTCCAGCTACTCATGCATCTCATGCCAGGAGCTCAGCCCCACCAGTCCAAGTAAACAAAGACCCTCCCACCAGGGGCAGGCTGTGGCAGGGGAAGGTAGGCAGGGAGAGGCTGAGGCAAGCAACTCACTTCTCCCTTCCTTCCCCGACTACGGCGATCCTCTTACTGTCCTCAGTCCAGGCAATGTCCTTGATCTTTCCAGCAAAAGGCTGATACTCGTATTTTAAAAGGTGCTCCTTCTGCGTTGTATCCCAGATCCTCAGCTTCCCAGAGACATCTGTGGAACAGGATACAATGAGGGTGTTGAAAGCCACTTTTCTCCACTGGGCCAGGGCCACACATTTCCAACCCCCTTAGCACAGGCTGTATTCGCAGCTTTCTGGACGAAAGAGCCTGGTTTAGGTATACAACACTCAGCTACTCTTAAATCAAGGCACTGCCTTCACAGGGCTGCTGTGGGGCCCCTGAATTTCACCTGGACAGCAAACCCTGCATAGACACCAGAAAAAGCCCAGGGACATGCAAAGCCCAAATCCCAACACGATGCATTTTGCTTCATGACTGGTAGGGTGTCCACATGGCGTGTGGGCCCCAGGTCACCTCCTTAACACTTGGAACCAAATCCTTCACTTGTGGAGCATGACACTGCTGTGGTGCCCATCTCTCCCACCATGGGAGACCTGCAGACCTGACCTTTGTATAGCTACTGCCATCAGGCAGATCAGCAGCCTCACTCATCACATGAGGTTCTGAGCGCTCGAGCGAGGGCTGAGTGAGACAGATGAAGTGGGCATTGTGAAGGAAGGAGAACAGTACACAGACCGTGGCACAGTTCTGTTCTCACCAGGGCACTGTCAGCACATTGTAAAGAAAGGAACACTGAAGACCCACCCCTTTCCAGATCCTGCCACTAAATACCAGTCCCGACATACCTCCTCCCAAATTAGCACTGTGCCTGTGGTAAGAAACATGTGCAACCTCTGCCTCTTCTCTACGTAAGCAGGCAGTGTTTTTCCAGGGACCCCAGGCCTCTTTACCCAGCAGTGCACAAAACCAACAGGTGGCTCCAGTGAAGTTGGTTTTCATCTTCTGGGCTAAGTGGAGCCAAGGGAAGGCAGAAGTAGAGACAGCTCCCAGTCCAGCCTCAACCCAGGGCCCAAACCCACCTCCACCATGTTCGGGCTTTTAGATCTCCAATAAGCCACACGGCCTCTTTTGTGGCTTTACCCAATGAGAGGGGGAAGAGCAGTGCCATCTGTAGGGCTATGAGGATAAAACAAGGCCCTTGTGCAAAGTCTCAGACTAGTCCTCAGTAAGCACTCATTACGAGTTAGCCATGAGTTAACGCAGGCTCTGTATACTGGAGACTCCTCCCTATGTGCAAACATACAGCCAGTGCTTAGACCCAAGAGGGTGCACACATGAGGGCTGTTGCCAGTGCTAAGTCTGGTTGGAGGGTTTCAACAAGGGCCCCTAGTCACTGCTTGGTAAGGTCTGGGAAGATGGCCTGGCATGCTGCTGAGGTCTGTTCCAAAGATAACCTGGAGACCTGATCAGTTAAGTCCCTTCACCAAAAAAGGCAAGAAGGCGCTGCAGCATTAGAGGAGTGCTGTGCACAGGAAGGCCACCCACGTGTACAGATGGGCACACACTCTCACACATATGCAACATACCCACATGCACACATACTCACGCTCACGTGTGTACACACACCATCACATCACATTCACCCAAATACACACGGCCACAAGGCTGTCCACTGTGCTCAGTGCACCGTGGAGAAGATAACACTCTATAGGACAGGGTGGAGGATGCCCGACCCTCTCAGACAGGGCATGCCCTGCGTTTCTACTTTCCTGAGCTAATCTGCTGTTCCTTGCACTAACTCTGGCTCCATTCCTCCACTGGCATCCACTTGCTTTTCCAATGCCTCCCCCTAGACCATTTCACTCTTCTCAGAAGCAGGTGGGGCAGGAAAGAGACAGAAAGAACTAGATGTTGACCTATCAGGGAAATCCTGCAGCAGTTGCCAAAAACTGACTGAGGGCCTACTGGGTGCCAAGCCAGGTGCTGGGACCAATCACCCCCTGGTAAGGGGCCAGAGGGGAAGCACACAGGAAAAGACACTTTCACTGATCTGTTCGTAGACACAGCACCCATGCAAAGGACCGAATGACAAAAGGAAGGGACCTCTATTAGTAAGCTCCTGTCCACACTAGTACAGGGAGCCACCATGCTAGTAGCTGTTTCAGTGTGTCTGCATCCCCACATATGCTGGGTACACACTGCTGCTCAGCAGATATGGTGCAGTGGAGCAGAGAAAGGAGAACCCAGCTCATACTGAACCCCCAGCCTGGTCTTTCCTGGCCCAGCCACCCACCAGCCTTCAACTCTGAGCACCAACACTCCTTTCTCCAGGAAGCCTGCCAGGAACCCTTGCTGCACCCTAAGGGCCATCAGAGGGTCACTGTCAGGTGCTGAGGGGACTGACTGCGTAAATTCCAGGAAGTGAGGGGACAGATGAGCGTCAAACTCCCCAAAGGCAGTGCTACTGAAGAGCTGAGGTGCCCTAGAACATTTTTTTGGTGGGAATAGGGTTTGAACCCAGGGCTTTGTGCTTGCAAAGCAAGCACTCTACTGCTTGAGTTATACCTCCTGTCCATTTTGCTCTGATTATTTTGGATATGGGGACTCTTGGAACTCTTTGCGCAGGCCGGCACTGAACCTCTTCATCGTCAGATGTCAGCCTCCCAAGTAGCTAGGATTACAAGCATAAGCCACCAGCACCTGGCTCTGAGGTGCCCTAGAAATGACCACTGCCCTAAGGACCCTCCCATAGGAGCTGGGCTCTAGACGCCAAGACTGAACATCACTGTCTGTGCTCGGCTCACTGGCACAGGCCCCTCATGTAGTAGCCCTATTGGAAGGTTCTCTCTTTTAGGAGTTGGCAGCCAGTCAGAATGACACACATCTACAGATTCCACAGAGGGCTGGGCCCAGCTGAAAGGGAGCTGAGGACTTTCTGGGGTACTGGGACCTCAACCCCACCAGGCACATCAGGTAACAGGTAACCAACATGCAACCAGCACGGTCCTTCCTGAGCCTCCCCTTCTCTCACCCTGCTCTCTCCAAACCCTTCAAGCTACACTATTTTTAGCCCAAAGCCTCATCTCTGCAGCCAACATTTCATTGTAATCCTTAACAATCGCCTTGCTCTATTCAAAGAAATGGATTAGAAATGTGCAAAAGTGGTCCCGGCCCATGAACGCCCTTGGCTCCTCCACCAAATCAGCGTGCTTTGAAGAGGAAAATATCAAACTGATGGTCACTTATTTATGTGGCCCATCCTCGCTCCAGTCTCTGCACCAGTCTTCTGCATAGATTCCGAATTAGATCTGAAGGCCATCGATTTCTGTCTGTTCAACAGCCCCCTGGGGACAGGGAGGTCAGGTCTGGGACCCCAGGGTCTGAGCTGGGGCAGGCAGGGCAGGGAGGTGTGGCGAGCTGAGTGGATGCCCTCACCAACTACCTTTCTGCCCTGAGAAGACATTGTCAGGGCTCCTGGCTGTGTTGAACACAAGTTAAAAAGGCACCAGAGCCAAATCCTGAGGCTTACATGAAGAGACAGTTGCTGGCAACCAAGGCCAGAGAAGTAAAGATGGTCAGAGAGCCAACATAAACCGTGGGTTAGAGGTGAGTAGATCTCAACACAACAACTACTAAATGCCTACTATGTGCCAAATTCCTGGCCCAGCCCACACTGTAATTGGTGGGCTGTCAGCAACACGTCCATTGTCCTGGCTCTATTACCACAGGACCCCTTCTCTCTAAAGCGTGCCCCAGTTTCAGTGACAGGTGACAATGATGCACCTGGTACGAGACCTGTACTCCCATCACCTCACTGGATCCCATTCCAACCCCTGTGGGGGGAGGAGTACTCACAGCTCCAGTTTACAGAAAAAGATCCAACTGTGGCTACACAGCTAGTAAGGGGTGAGACCAGGTCTCTCCCAACCCTGCAGGACTCCATCTCCCAGATACACAGTCTCAGGGAGCAAGTCATGCACCATCTGCAGGGCAGATAAAGATGGCCCCAGCACTAAGAATCCTGGTCCTGGTCCTTCCCCTTCTTAGTAACAACTCTCTCAGCACTGAGTACCAGCTGTTATTCTTCAGCAATGGCGAGGAGGTCACAGCAGCCATTCATGCCCTCCCTGGGACTGGAGACAGCAGTAAACAAGGCAGGCCATAAATTTTTGTTGAGTGTATGAATGAATGAATGAGTGAACAAATGAATGAGATACAGGGTGTGCCATTTTATCTCCCATGCTTCCTTTCCTCATCTGTAAATGGCTAAACTCTACCTCAAAGCACTAAACGAATAAAGCTACTACAAATGTAAAGAACTTCACACCCCTCCTCTGCTCCAGCCTCCAACTGAGCCACACAGAAAGCCCAGGCTGGAGGGAAAAGGCCAGCACTCACACACAATGCCAGCATCAGCTTTGAGGCTGGCTGGGAAAGGAGCAGCGGGCAAGAATGACACAATACACAGCTATCACACACACGCGCGCGCACACGCACGAACACACGCTGAGTTCCAATGCTTCATGGTACAGCCACCTAAAGGCCTCTGGCCAGTTTCACATGAATGTTTCTGCTGACCTACAAATTGAAGCCTATTGAAAAACTGCAAACTACAAAGTGTACTTTCTAGAAAGAAGGCCAGGTCTGCAATGGGGCATTCTGGTGGCTTATTCTTTCCTGGGCAGTCTCAACTAAAGCTAATTACATCAATCCCCTTGCTCAAAACCTGCCACCCCTCCCCAGCCTTTGCAAACCAACAGCCCAGCTTGGTCTTAGGCCCAGGTGCCACTTGGGCCACACTGTACATGTCCTAGAGCTGTGCTCATATGGGTACCTCCAGAGGCGATGTAGAACCCGCTGGGTGCATACTTGGCCACCACCACCTGATGGGCGTGCTCCGTGTAGATGTCAGCAATGGCTGGGTTCTGCGGGGAGAAGGAGATCAGGGTGAAACGCACAAACAGCCAGCTGCTGCCAGCTCCCCTGTGCATAGACTGAGGAAGAGGCACACCAACACCCAAGTCAAAGCATTATCCATAAAGTCCTACAAGTACATCTGCAAGTACACCTGCCACTTGCTGCTGCCTCTCAGGGTGACAATTTTAGGCCATTTCTCCTCTGCTTGTTTTGTACTTTCCATGACACAGAACACACGTATTTGTAGAATGTACACAGTAAGCAAAAGCTTGACTGAAAAAAGAACTCCATGATTCTCCTTTCCGCCAGTGTGTGGGAAGCTGTCAGCTGAGGCTACGTTCACTCCAGCCAGCTGTGTCCGACTCCCAGAGCCAGGTCAGTGTCTGACTGGGAACAGCTCCTGGTTCTGAGGCTCAGCAGAGCAGGCATGGGGCTGGGGGAGATGCGGATTCCCCACACCTTCTGTAGCACAGACCAAAGGCTGGAGGGTGTTTGTGTCAAGAATGGAGCTAGCATTCGGGACTAGGATCATCCTTACTCCTCAGTAATGACATTCACTTTACTAAAAGGACAGATTCCTGTCCTCTCTGCCTTGCACACTCCCACAAATTCCCCACACACTCTAAATGGTCTGCACAGGTAAGCTTTCAGGAGGAAATAAAGACATGGCTATTTACTCTCCCATCCCTGATGCCAGCTTTCTATAACCAAAGGACTTTGAGAAAGCGGCAGCTTCTCAGATTCAAGGCTGAGGACACAATAGGTGTGGTGGCTGGGCTGCCCAGCTTTCCAGAATCTTTACCTGTTCTTACTACCTGCAATCCCTTCCTGTCTCTCTACTACTCTGTCTGGAACCCCAGAAACTTGTCTATTCCTGGTCATGGGATCCCACTCTGCCCCAATCCCAGAGACTATTCAGCTTCTAGCCCAGTCAATGCAGTCACCTTCTGGCACACATAACCTCCCACATCGGTGAACACCAGTTCTCTTGGTCTCCCTGCCTGCTAATACCACTCAACCATTCACCAGTGTAAATAGCACCTCTTCTAAGAAGCCTCCCAAGATGGCCTATAGTGGGTCTTCTATGCTTGCACAGCATTCACGCTGGCCCTCCAGCAGCCACAGAACACTGCCTAACGTTCCATCCTTCTCTGTTTCTGTAACCTGTTTAGTGTGACATCTAACAGTTATCAGAGCACTTAGCAAGTAACGTGCTCACTAAATGGTTTTGGAAGGAAAAATGTTTGTAGTCTTTATCTTTCACCCCTAAGACTTAACACAGCATTATTTATTATGCGTGATTAATCCATCTTGGGAAAAACATTTGCTAATGAAATCAGAAAGATGGAGTATCCAGTGAAGACATTATGAGTGCCAAATAAGCCACTGTGCTCAACACCGTTAGTCTTGTGGGAAATGTCACTACATACCCCCCATGAGACTCAATAAAAAGACCAATGTCACCAAATGCTGGTGAGGATGAGGGAGGATGGACACTGGAATGTCCACATACTTTGGTCCAAATAGAAAGCAATAAGCTACAAAAGTTTTGCAGTTATTTATAAAGTTAAGCACACACGTATCATCAAACAATCCTACTCCTGTGTGTCCCCCTAAGAGAAAGGAAAGCATATGTCCACAAAAGGCCACCAGCTTTATTCAGAACAGCCCCAGGCTGGATGGCCATCAATGCACGAGAAGAGAAACTAGGTGTGGTACAATCGTTCAGCACAGCACCATTCAGCAACAAAAAGAAACAAACTAAACGCTCAACAAGAAATGGATCTCAAACGCTCTGTGCTTGTTATGTAAAAGCAAAGAAAAGATCACATACGGTGTGATTCCCTTCACAGGAAAGAAATTCTAGAAAAGGCAACCTCAGGGAAAGAAAGCAAATCAGGAGCTGCTGTGGGCTGGGCTGAGGGACTTTCTGAAATCATGGGAATGTTCTGCACTGTGATCTGGCCACAGTTATGGGATGAGATTAGGGTGTCAAAATCTGAGCTGTATATATGTATCTAAATCACACCCACTGAAGCTGCCCCTCCTTCATGTTCAGATATTCTGACATGGACAAGTTTCCTAACAAAGCACTCAGCTGAACACCAGGTGGACAGGAGACCACACTCACCAAGCACTGGCTCGACACTAAGAGCCCCATACTCACCCATATGGGAACCCCACCCACTCTGCAGGTGACACCGCACCTCTCAGGGGCTGTGAACCCCTCACTGGATCTGAAGAAGGGTGACCTCTGAGACCACACTGCCTTCCAAGGGAGCAATCAAGTCAGTGAAGAAAGGATCCCAGGATGGAAGATGACTAGGCAGGGCCTGGTGGAAGTTCTGACCCTAAAATTCCTTCCCCTAAATGGTCAAGATCTGCACACAGGGTATGAAAAGCCCTGAAGGGCAGCAAATCCTACCCTGGGCTGGATGAATCACTCTTTCTCTCTCTCACTCACTCTCGTTTGTATTCTAAATACAACTGGGTCAGCCGTGGGGTGAGAGACTCCAAATTACAGATAATGACTTACATCTGAGTCAGCACAGCTCCTCCCCACCTACTCCACTCACAGTGGGAGCTCTACTCTTGCCAGGAAGATGGGATGCCTCCCTGCCCCCAGTGAGTACTTTTCTGGAAAGCCTAGTCCAGACTGTCCCCTCTTGCTGTCTTGGGGAAGGAGTTACAATAATGAGCATGAGATGGGAAGGGACCAATTTCAGGACCACCAGGGTGTAGTTACTGCTGTGGGCAGGGCCCCCAGACTCACTCCACCATTCAGAACAGCCTCACGGTCCTCCATACAGGGTGCCCTTCCCCCAGACTTCCTTCTAGCACTGCTGCAGACTGGGCAGGCTCTGGCAATCAGAGGACACAGGTCTGCAGGAAGCAAGCAGGAAGTCCTGGCCTACAGAGACCCACCCTGTGGGGCCTCCCAGGTCTGGCCCTTGTCGGCAGTCTGTCTTTATCAGCTCTTTGCAACCCAGTTCTTCCTGTCCCTTCTGGGGACAGCAACCACCACTTGCCCAGTCCCTCTACCTTGCATCAAACCACCATCCTTTGCCACTCCACCCCGCCTCTCCAATTCTTGCCCAGGAACTCCAATCCTCTTTTGGAGCCTTGTCAAATGCCCCGACACCTCCAAAGTCTGTCCTGTCTGGGAGGAGACTCACGTAACCAACATCTTGCTAACGGGCCTCTAGAAGGAGTTACATAACCACTGTGCCTGGGATGGCACGCAGTTTCTCCCCTGAAGCTCCAAAGTTCTCTTCCCTTTGGGATGAAGGTCAGATCTGAGGGAAGGGTCGGGGTACAGGCAACATATGACCGTCCAGGGCTCGGCCCTCTCACCTCAGCTCTTAGCCCACAGTGAATCTGGTGAATATACTAGAAGGTTGGGAGGTCTCCAAACCAAACGTTTCAGCGGTCCAATACAGCCATGAAAAGGGGGTCCCCTTGCATCCATCACAGATTAGAGCCTGGGGGTTCCTCCACTGTCTACCAGGGTAAGGTAGGCATGTGCTCCCAGGCAGGGCACTGCATTCTGAATACTCCTGGGCTAAAGGCGGATCCTGCAGTAGCTGGACTTGTGCTAAACAAAATGTACAGGGCCCTTCTTGTCAGTGGTGACTAGGGACAACTCTTAACTACTGCAGGACCCAGCTCCCAAGCAGCAACACAAACCTTCGCACTTCCCGACCAGAACTTATGCCCAGGCAAGGCTGAACCTGACCACGCTGTCTCAGAAGACAGGTGTTAAGTACGACTTGTTCACGGCCTCAGAGCCACCCAGCACTTGCCCCTGTGCAAGCCCTGGGGGTGCAGCAGCGAACACATACGGTGACTCCCGTGCTGCCCCACAAGGCAGGACCTGTACCACGTGTGTTGCAGCCTCAAGCAGATCATCACTCCACTACCTTAAACATGGCTCTTCTCCCCCACCCACCAAGGCCACCCTGCAGGAGTCCACAGAGGGGCTGAGAGGATCCCAGTCTCATGCTGCTTCCTGTCTAAACCCCCTTCTAGGAGAACGCTTATTATTCATTCTCCACGGCCCTAAACTCCAGCAGCTACCCTTGCCACTGGGAAGCACACGTGGTTTTTGCCTCGTGCTCCAAAGGCTCGAAGACATGCCTGTAATATTCAGTGTGTGAGAGAGTCATTTAAGAGGGTTCGCAAACCCAGCACTGGCATTTGGGGCTTAATAATTCCTTGTTATAGAATAGTCCTGCACCTCACAGGATGCTTGTCAACACCTCTGGCTTCTCTTCACTGGATACCAGCAACACAACTCTTCAAACATTGCCAGTATCCGTCAGGGAGATGAGGGTGGGGGCAAACCACCCTTCCTGACAAGCAGTGATGAATGATGAACCCTGTGGTTTATGGGCATGGCTCAGCAAGATCCTGGCTTAGTGGATATGTGTTAGAAACATCCAGAACAAAGGATGGTCACCACAGCTGAGGAGCCCTTGAGTGATGCATTAATGTCTAAGCAGCTTCCCAATTGCCTCCTGGCCTTAAACCTTAGATACACAACTTTCTTTCCTTCCAGGGTCTACTTCAGGGCTGCCTGTGTCACTCACTGCCACTAGCTGCTCTGAGGCCTCCAGCCTTGGTTCTGCTTGCTCCCCTCTCCCACAGAACTGTAGTGACAACCCCAGTTTCATCTTACTGGCCCTCACTGTTCTTCCCTGACTGTCCTGTGATGAAGGTCCCCACTGCTTCCTCTCTCCTATCAGGTGGCCAGGCTAAGGTGCATGGACTCCTGGCTCCTGTTTATTCAGGTCATTCGACCTATCACTTCCTTCTGCTGTTTGGAGCTCATTTCACTACCCAACAGCAAGCTCCATGTGCTAGGGCCTCTAACCACTCTGGATGTGTATCAGGGACTTAGCAGGCATGTGGCTGGACAGAGAGACTTGGTTAGTCCTCAAGTCTTGCTCTCCCCCATTCCCACCTGTGGGTCCTTGCACATGTGGTTGGCAGATCAAGAGAAAGTCGGTGGGCATTCCCCCAAACTGGCCTACATATGCTGTTCAAAGAGACAAGTCCAGTGACACTGTATGTGGATATACAACCATGTCAAACTGCTATGTATGTTTTACTCTCTGAAATTTAACTTCATAGTCCTAACTTTTCCAATGTATATTTTAGTTCCAGAATTTAGGACCTGGTGCTTTCCTTAAAATCCCTGTGTGCGCTTTTCGGGGTCACTTCTCACTGCAGCCTTACTTCTGGCGTACTCTCCTGGATTAGTTTGTAAACAGCCTCATCACCACCTGCTTTAATCCTACAGAGAATTTCCTCTTCACATGAGGCAATGGGATGTGGTATGTGTTGAGAAAAACATCTCTCTTCCTAAAGCTTGAGAAGTGCTGTTATCCTGGGTTCACAAAACAACTTTTAAGTCAGCAAAATAAATGACAGAGGTAGCTCCCAGTAGAAAGTTGGTAAGAGTATGTTCCAAGTTTAAAAGGTGGTTCCAAAAAATTCAAGTGCAGCAAAGCTGGGCATGGTGGTGCACATGTGGAATCTCAGCATTCAGGAGACTGAGGCAGAAGGATCCCGAGTTCCAGGCCTGCCTGGACTACACAGTGACGCTGTCTCAAAGAAAAACTGCACATCGACATAACTTTTCTCTTAATCAAGCAGCTGCCGTGTGCTGGGCACTCTTCCAGTGTGAGGACAAGCAGTGAATGACATGGGAAAGCCTGCTTTCCTGGAGTGGGTGTTCAGTTGGTGGGAAAGGCAGAGACCTGTGTGCACTCAAGGCAGCAGCGGCCTATGTGCAAGCTTGTTTCCTACTCAACATCAGCACCAAGTGTGAGAGAAGGCCATAGGTGGAGATGCTATTTAGGCGAATCCCTGCAAATGAGGCAACATCTAAAGGGAAACCTTCATCAGGGAGCAAGCCAGCGCAGGGCACTGTAGGTCCTTAGAGGAGTATGTGGCAGGTCTGGAAGTATGCGGTGGGTCTAGAGCTGGCAATGAGAGTTGGGGAGGTCAGAGGGAGAGAGCTGGATGGTGAGGCCCTCTCAGCCAGAGAGAGGATTCTGGCTTTCACCAATGGGGGCTGTGGAAGGAGACAAGGAGAAACTGGACCTCCCTGTCTGAACATAACCACTCTAGCAGCTGTGTCGAGAAAAGAACGGACAATGCTGCAGCAAGGATGGAAGCAGGGAGAGCAGTTTGGCTTTTTTTTTGTTTTTTGCGAGTGGAGGGTGGAATAATCCAGGTGTTAAAGGATGGGGTGGGAGCACAGCAGTACAGTCCTGTCAAATTCTGCATACTCTGTGGTGTCAGCAGGGCTGGCTGAAGGATGAAACATGGTATAGGAGAATGGAGTACCAGCTTTTGGGTGTCAATGGTCAGAGGAATGGGGTTGCATTTTTGGGGAAGGGCACAAGACAACCTCAAAGGTGAAGTGTGAGATACCAATCATGGATTTAGACCTTCCACGACATGGCGCCAGCCTTTGTTCCCTCCTTCTTCCTGAGCCTAGATTTCAACCAGACACCTGAATGTTCTTGAGAATTCGTAACTCACTTTCTCCTAGGAACACTCTGCCCTGATAAAAATCTTACGCACGTTTACTTGAGGACCAGTGGGTCATCAATCAAACTAATTAGTGCCTGCAGAGAGGGATGTACTGGCAGCACCCCAGGGTGTCTGGGGCAGGAAGAGGATGGACACTCAGGACAAAATGATAAGCCCCAGGGAGGAATAAGATTGGAGATCTCAGAAGGAAGAACGGGCTTTGAGACTCAAGAGTGCTTCTTGCAAAGGGCTGCTCTTCCCTGGTGGTGAATCAGCCCCTTCCCCTCACCGAGCAAGACTCCTCTGGGAATATTGGGCCACCGCTGGTGGAAGGGAAGCTGGCACAGCACCAGACAAGGCTGGTGCCCCCAGGTGGAACCCACTGCAGACTGCAATGGCATGGGGGGGGGTGCCTGGCTGGTGGCAAAAATCACACATCCTACTGCCAGAAATTCCCGAGAATGCTTCAGTGCCTCGTCTGTGGCCAAACTACTGAGTCACTGGTCAGCACCTTGATTTTTACCTTTTCCAAATCTTGGGACCCCACTCTACTTGTTTAAGCCCTTGGTGATGCCTTCCCAGTTAGAAGGAGGTTAGATCAGCTTTCTAGGAATCTATGTGACTAGTAAGTTGTTAGCATCTTCAAGGCAGGTTCGCACCTGCCACCCTCTCATGTGAGGTGTCCAGCAATCCTTGGCAGGGCAGGAATCACCAGAGCTCTTTGCTTCCAGCAGAGCATAGCAGTGACTGGCTAGGTTACCCAGATAGAGCCAGCAACACTGCAGACTTGGGAGCAGCCTCTCGTTTTACAGACAAGGAAAATGAGCCCACAAAGCCCCTGCATTCCCTCAGCCACTGTGAGGCCAAGTATGAATGTAAGCCACAACCTCAACCCACCAAGGGCTTCCTTCCAGAAGACAGGAATGAGAGCTGACATCCCTGTAAGGAAGTGAAATGAAACCTCCACCTGTGTACTAGCCCTTCACCAAAACACAACCCAGGAGAAGCCCCCCCAAACAACAGGTCTGGCACTGCCAGCCTCCAGTCCCCATACAATTTCTTAGGCTGAAGAAGGGAGAAGCAAGAGTTAAGCTTGCTGACCTGGAAGGGGGAAAGGGGGCTGTGACAAGCAGACTGGGTCATTGCAATAACTACAAGGGAATAACGTGAACCTGCAAGGACTTCCCAAGAAGCTGGCTCTAGACACGTTCAGCCTGGGTACAGAGTGCCTGCAGAGAATGAGAGAGTGATTCATAGGAATAAACTGGTTCCTGTTTTCACTCTGAGGCGCAGATTCATAGTGGCAGATCAGGCTGGCGTCCAGAGTGCTGGGTGTGTTAGTCCAGGCTCTGGCACATGGGGAAACCCTGGGCATTATGATTAAGCCTAAGTAAGGGCCATTTACCAAGTGCTCCATGTGTGCCAGGCATGGCCAGCTGAGGACGATCAGCTCATTCAGGCGGCCCAGGCAACCAGGGAAGTAGGGATCATCTCACCATCTCTGTTTTGCAGATGAGGAAACTGGGGTCAGACAGGCCCAAGCACCCTCCCATCCCCAAGATAAGCAGCAACTGACCACTTCTGTTTGATCCCTCAAATTCAGAGCCTTTGCCCTAAGGACTGAACTAACTGGAACCTTAGTTTCTCCATTTAAAAAAAAAAAAAAAAAAAAAAAGGCCTGGATGACTGGATGAGCAGACCAGTCCTCTAAGGTTCCAGAGGTGTGGCTCCGAGGCGCAGGGGGCGTGGCATTCTCCCCCTCCCCAGGCCACTGGGGCAGGGAGATGGGGGGTGGGGAGAATTCTCCACTCCTAAGGTAGCTGCAGAGACCGGCCTCGTGGGGAAGGGGGTAGTCTACTCACGTCAATGTTCCTCAGGATGACGCACTTGCCATTGGTGTACAAAAAATTGTTGCCCTTAGGGTCGCCGCCGATGATTTTGGAGACGCCCCTCTCCACCTGGGGTAGGCTGGCGAACACCTTCTCTGCAGAGACACAAACGCGGCAGGGCGCATTAGAAAGGACCCCAGTCTGGCCCCTAGAGGACAGAGGGAACGGGAGGGAAGCGACAGGGGCCCCGAACCGGTCTCGGCCGGTCACCTGTTGCCTCCTATGGGAGGGGCGGCCGCCACTTTCCAGGAGCGCAAGGGCCGGCTCCACTTCCTAGTCCGCGCTCCGGGGCCAGGGCCCACGGGAGCGCCGGGGTTCTGCCGGCTCTGCCCAGCCCGCAGCGACAACTTCGGGGGGACCCCGGGCTGGGGGGTCGCCGCCCCGCATCCCGATCGGCTGAGCGCGTCGCCGGCCGCACCCTCCCCACGCAGACCCTGCCGAGATCCGGCAGTCGAGCCCGCCCGCCTGGGCCCCCCGCGCACTCACTGATCTCGTACGGCATCCTTGCCCACTTGTTACCGCGCCACGCTCGCCAACAGCCTGGGGGCCGGCTGCGCTCCAAACGGACCTCGCCGAGGCCAAGCCCAGGGACAGCGCGGAAGGCGGCACCGGGCGTGCCGGGCGCGGAGGGGGCGGTCCGAGGCCGGGCTCCGAGGCCGGCTCGCGCCTGCCCTGCGCGTTGCCGCTGCGGACGCCCGAACCCGGAAGCGCGGTCCCGGTGCGGCTCGCCCCCAGCTTTGACCATATATAGTCAAGCGCTCAGCTCAGCGGCTGCAGCCCCGCGAGCCTGCGCGGACGCCCGCCCCTCCCCCGCCGGCCGCCTGGCGCCACGCCCCGGAAGTGACGTAGACAGACGGCCTGTGAAAAGGCGGTGTCAGCCCACTCGCGGGATCCGGAAGGGCCGGTGGGAAGGGAGCGGGGCTGGTGGGATGGGAGCGGGGTCGGTGGGACGGGAGCGGGGCCGCCTTTTTCTCTCGTGCTTGCGAGGCGGGTACTGCCAAGCCCCTAACCAGCCTTCACCGAGTAAAGCTCGGTTTGCAGAAGTCTTCAAGTATTCTGCAGACACTCGCTTTGCTTTTTTTCTGAAGTATGACGAGGGGCTGCCCTTCCTCCCTCGAAGCAAAACCTTTAGAAATAACAGCTTCCTAGGCGCAAGCTCTCCCGGCTTTTCTCTCTCAACTCTAAAGAGCGCAAAGAAACCAAAGACAAGGAGAATGAGGCTGCTAAGAAAACCAGGGGTTGGTTCTTAAACGAGAAAGGCCCTCCCCACTCTTAAGGAACAGCTCATGGAGGGGGAAGCAAGGCCAAGAGGGAGTTGACGCCCTGAGCCTCACTTCTCAGTGGGGACGAGCGTGGGGGAAGGGGCGAAAGGAAGACAAACACTTGTGGCCCCCAGAAACAAACTGAAACCTAAGCCAGGAAATCTGGGGGTTGCGGAGGGCGGTGCTCTTTCAAGTCTGCAAAGTCCTGGCGCTACCTTCAGACGACGCTTTCGTAGTCTAGCCGGCCTAATCACTTGCCACCTGTGCTCCCTGAAAATGCTGCAGAATCGAGCTCACTCTGGCTCACCTGGGTCATTGACTGCATCTGTCTCCTATCCCGCTACCTCGCCCATTCTCCCTTCCTCCACCTTCCTGTCTTCCAGGTAGCAGCAAGGTGATCCTCAAAACGTAGACGTTAACTTAAAGCACACAGGAGCGCCAGTCCTGCGATATACAAGCTAGCTTTTTAAAATGGCCTTAGGCCCTCACTCTGCTCTTCTGTAAATGGCCTTAGGTCCTATGTGGTAGACATTACTGTTACTTAAGATTCAACTTCTCTAGCAACTATCTTTGGTGTTCTAGAAATGCCCCAGGCATGTATCTGCCTCCAGGTTCTCCCAGACATCTTAGCCGGATTACCTTCTTGGGGATCAACCTTGGAAAGTAATTTCCAAAGTACTTGTCAGATGTTGCTTTGAGTATCGCCTGCTCTAACCACCTCAAGCTGCAACCTTCCAAGCTCTGTAAACATTCCTTGTCTATTGGGTATGCCTCATGACTCAAAAGGGGTGCTACTTCCCGAAATCCTTGATCAGGAAATACTGAAGATCGTTTTGCAAGTTAAAGGGCAGTAGCAATGTTAAATCTGTGCAAAATGCTGTGATTCCTAAAACATTCCTCCACAAGGAACTTGTAGCTACCTGCTGAGCAATCAACTTGCAGGGAAATCGGACCTCCTAAATGAGGCTGTTAGTGCAAGTGGTACAAATCCACACACCAGTGTGATCAGAAGGACTGGGAAAAACAAGGCATCAGCTTCAAACTCTTGCAAGTTGGTAAACACTTATCTGCGGGCATAAGGATGAAAATGACATGGCAAAGCAACCTTACCGCAAACACTTGCAAGCCTCTAGCAAGATGCTGGCTGGGCTCTGACTTATTTTTCAGCTTAATTAAGAAGGCTACACATCAGAGCTAAAAGCTTGGATGTGGGGCAGTTGTTAGCTATAAAATCGACTTACAACTTAATGAAGATGAATATGTGGTTGGCAATTTGCAGGGTGTGGATGGAAGAGGGCCAGCAGGAGAGTATTCCCCTGGCTTCACCCTGTGGTGTGATCTGTTGGGTCATCTCAGCTGTGGGACTCAATAACACCTCAGTGGAGTCAGCTGTGGCTAGCCTATTCTTTGGGGTTCCCTAATCCCCATGCAAAGCTTTAATCAGTGGACTTCAAGTCTGTTGCAGTGACTCATCACAGCCTGGTCACTTTATCCACGTTTCGTAACCCCTACCTGGTGTCTGAAATGTCGTAAAAGCAACTCAGTAAAACCAGAGACCAAACTCTGCCTTTCCCCCTGCCCTGCAAACATTACCCCTGGGATGTCCCTTCACAGTGACAAGTGTCCTTGTGTCTCCAGTTGTCCTGGTCAGAAACCTCACCCACCTCTGCTCTAATCTCCCAGGTCCAGTCTTTAGCCGAATCCGTTCTGTTCCTATCACTAGCACTGCCCTGTGCCAAGCTTCACCTAACCTATGCTACTAACTTGTGACAAGTTTCCCTGCACCTACTCAGGCCCTCATTCAGCCAGAGTGGTCTGAAACTTCAGTCATACTTCTGTATTTTAGAGAGCAGCTCCTTCCTGGCCTACAAAGCCCTCAAGTGCCCGACTCTACCTTGTTCTCAAGCACAATCTCCTGGTGGTTGTCTGTCTAGCAATTGCCCCAGGCTGCTGCACTGGCTGTTTCCAGGCCATTTATGACACCCTAGTTTAAGGCCATTCCCGTCTCTAACGACACTTCTTATGCTGTATATTACACATTCAATGCTGATTACAGGATTAGCTTCTCCTTGCTCTCTTCCCCCACCAAAGACTGCGCTTTCCATATGACTTGTATGAAGCTCCTGATTTGAATTCTTGAAGGAACTAGCAATTTGTGTTTAACTCTTAAGTTATTAAACTGAAGCAACTTGAAACAAATACTTAAGTCAAGACTGGCTGTAGGTAAGCTAGTTCCATTACTTGGGTAACTGAGACACCCTTAATTGGCCTAAGTGTTATGGGTTGTCTTACACCTTCCAGCTGGAAGGGGGAAATGGGTTTCAGGTGGCCTCTTGAGTGCTTGTTACATAATGAGCAGGAACTCTGTGTGGCTCTACAGCAATCTACCTTATTTTCAACTGAGCAGCACACTAGGGAAGGTGGGTCTTGCAAACAGGTGAATTTCTAACACCTGTAACCAGTGCTACATTGGCTTTGTTTCCTGCAGGTTATGGAGCCTCCTGATTAAGTAGCTGTCCAGTTTGAGATTATCTACAGTAAATGGACTTCTAAGAACACATTGCTGGCACTTTCAAGACTAATTGTAAGATTAGGGAACATACCCTACTTGTTATCTTTCTCTTTGAGCTAGTCCTTCATAGGCAGCTAAGCCTATTGCTGAGGATAGGCCTTGTAAAGTCTGGGTGAGAGCTAACCTGCTGGAGTTGGCAAATCTTATTTGAAAAATGTGGGGACCTAAACCTGTGTCCTACACGGCTTCAGTTAAAACCTCTCCTGTAGCTGCTAGGGGCTCTGGACTGTTAACTGTCTTCGCCCTTTTTGCATGTTAAATTCCCATGGGTGGTAGAGCTCAGCAATTCTTTCCCTTGCTGTGACGGTGCATGGTACAGCTGTACTCCAATACCAGGTATTGGAGTCTTGCCTTGCCAGCCCTTGCCAACCTTCATTCCTGCCTCATAGAGCTGGCCCTTTCTAGGATAGTGTTCTTACATCACATGTTTTAAGCTCTTCATGGAAGCCAGACGCCGGCCTGTTCTCTCTTGGCTCTTACTTTACGGTGGGGGCTAAGGTTCTTGCTTGTCCAAGTTCAAAAGTAACTAGGTGGTGTGCAATGAGGATTCAACCTCAGTCTTCCCTCAGAGCATAAGCTGCTGTCCTTAACAGGGAGCCTGAAAACAGGGGATCAGGATTTGCAACCTTAGAGGTGTTCTTAAAGAATGATTGCCATTCCAGTGAGTGGTAAAAAGCCAGGATTTTCCCTAGCAAAGCTTGAATGGTGTCAGTAGTGCTCCAGTTGAAAAGCCTTCTTTGTGCAAATACTGATTTTTTTTTTTCCTGGTGTTTTTCCTTCGCTCAACTTACGTCAAAGACATCAGCCCTTGGTAGCCTCCCACTGAGTGGGTGGTCGTGGTCTGTTTGGGCATTTCTGACCTAGTTGTGCCATGGTATGAGGCCCTGGCTCTTCAGTCACTCTGTCCTACACTGCTGAAGGCTCTAGTCTGATGGTTATTCCAGGGCCTTCTGCTGATGACATGGAACCTTCAGTTGCGGGGGCTCTGCTCTTTAGAGTGTCCTTGTAGAGATACTGGCTTGCCTTTTCTCACTGCTCAATCAGTGCTTGGGTCCCTCACCCCAGCTATGATGCTTGGAGAGACACTGTACTCCCTACTCCATGTGTCGGACTTACTCAAATCTGTCTTGCAGAACTGGATCCAACTCTTTCCAGGGAGTGCTGCAGCATCTAGAAATCCATGACAGCTTCTGCCAGTGCCTTACTAGAGACCACTGTCCTAGACTCCTTAAATGGCTTCTACTAGCTACTTCTAAACTCTTTCTACACTTAGCCTTTTCCCTAGTCCACGTCTCTGAATATGTGACAGAGGCCCAGCTCCTTTCCAAAGCACAGGAAACTATGTAAGTACTGGCAGCGTGTGCCCCTTTGTTTCCATTGAGAGGGATGCTGACTAGATACTCTGGCCTTCTCCATTTTTCTCCTGCCTCTTGAGGGGCATGGAGTGAGCTTGAACTCCTAGATAGACCTAGGGAATAGGACTTCCCTTTGGGCTGTGCTGAGAATGCTCTCATCTTTCTAAGTAGTCATGTGTCCAGGTAGATATCCCTCCCCCCAACAGGGGATCCAGAGTTCAGGTCTTCATTTGGCTAAGAAGGTGTACTAGTTTGCCAGGGCCATCATAGAATAGTACCCCAGCCTCAGTGGCTTACACAGAAACTGCTTATCTGTTAAGAGACCAGAAGTCCAATATCAAGGGGTGTGCAGGGCTGGTGCCTTCTGAGACTGTGAGGGAGAAGCTGGTCTGTCTCCCAGCTTCTGGTGCTTTGGCCATCACTGGTATTCTTAGATGTAGGAGTATTACCCTAGCTCTGCCTCATCTTCACTTGAGCGTGTCATTGTCTTCCAATTTCCTTCTAAGGCATGAGTCCTACTGGAGTATAACCATACTATAAAACATCTTGAAAAGCTGATTGTGAGGCAAAATGTGAGTGAAAGCAC